AATTCTCTTCATTGTGATTAAATATCGTTAATCATATTCTAAAATAATTTCGGTTACACTAGAAAATGCTTAATCGTGATTATAAAGTGATTATGTTTTAATCACGATTAAAGGTAATCATGTTTATTTGCGTAGTGTAATCGTAGTGATAATCACGATTAAGTATTTTCTAACGTAACTGAAATTATTTTAGAATATGATTAACGATATTTAATCACAATGAAGAGAATTGTGTGTAACCGCACTAATTACGATTAAAAAGACAATCGTGATTCAACTCGCGATAGCTATTATTATAAATATCCAGTGCGTAGGAGAAAACTCATGTTTGTGTTGGCAAAGTTAACATGAATACAGTAACACTCGTTAATCGGATCAATAGATTTGTTGACATCGACTGCTAATAAACCTTCTTGTACTTTTTTCCAGGCACCATGATTCCGATGACTTCCTATTTCATTCGATATCATTTCATCTTTTAACAAATTTAGCAGCAAGTTTGTTTCGTCCTCGGATCACAAAGATATTTTTACCTTCGTTTTATTCTTGTAACTCTGCATAGTTATTATTATAAAACTATTATTAATTAATTATTTATCGATCTGTAACAAAATATAGTAATGTCAGAAAAATTCTTTAGTAGGCAAAACAGACTTTTGGCTGATTAGTTATTGCAGTTGAGTAGTCGTATGCAAGCGCCGCTATCATGATCCTTTTTTCAATAGAGGTGGTTAAAGTTAATCACGCATAAATTTAATCGCGATTAAAGATAATCGTGATTATCCGCGTAGTGTTACCGTAGTGTTGGTTAGTTATATCACAGACAGTTAATGACCGACTGTTGCGGACTATTTATTCACTTTAAAAAAAATGCTGGCTTAGAAATCTGATACATTAAACTGTTTCATTCTTTGAATAATCTTAGACTCTTTACTCGTTTGTTGCACATGAGAATCAAGTACAAAACAAATATTTTAATCACAGTTTTAACTGCAGTCTTGAAGTGCTGGATTCGCAGCATGGGACATCATTGTCGATGAGGACGGTGTAAATTTAAGAGTAGATGTATTTTGTTCAAGTATTTTGTTTTTAATTTGATTTCTTTTATTTTCAGTTCGTTGATTAATTAGTCGCTACTGTAACATTCCAAAGTACTTTTCCGCTAGAATTATAATTATTTTTCACAACTTAATTTATAAAAATTAGTACGTAATCTCTTGGAATGAAGCAATGGAGCATTAGCTAATAAATAACAAATTCACTTATGTGGCACTGCCTGTAAAATAAACTAGGAGAAAACGATTTTATTAAATCAAATATATTTAATTTATCTAAGAATCATATAAGTCTTCATTTCCATTCTTTTCTTAAGGGTTCGAACTATCATTTACATCCCATTATATTTGCTGAAGTGTCGGCCTCAAAAGTACAACTCGCTTTTTTTCAAATTTTGTTTCGTTGCCGAGAAAATTCGTTTTTTCTAAATCAGTAGCGAAAAAGTCGGAATTCTGTCCGTAGTTTTCAATTTTCTTGATCAGAACTCAACTTCTATATAATAAAAATATCATATTTAGAATTAGGATCAAAAACTCAGTCGACTGATCTGTATTTCGAAATTTTTAGCTGGTTTCAGTTTTGGGTGAAAATCTTGATGATTTTTCGACGTGAAAATTCGAAAAAAACTAAAGTACTCGAATAGGTTAGGGATACACATCAGTCGATTCATTTTTTCATCCTGATTCCGAATATGAGATTTTTATTGCATAAAAGTTGAGTTCTGGTGGAGAAAATTGAGAATTATGAATTACATTCAAACCAGCAAAAAAAATTTGGGACTCAAAGGGTTAACATGATGCACTTTTAACTTTCTCATTGCGCAGATCTCTGACCTTCAAAGTCTTTAACAGTAGATCGTAACAGTTTTTTTCACTATACGACCGATCTATTAAAAACACATGGCTCCTTATTATCAAACGCCTAGACTTTCTTTTTTCTTTAGCTATTTTTTATTCTAATCCAGGAAACAACAACATAATGCAGCTCGTCTGCAATTACATCTGCTAGAACGATGATATGATGATGGTGATAAATGATAAGAATATAGCTCTACTAGGATCAACTTTGCTGGGTAACTCATTGGCAAGCTACAGAAGATGTGACGGTGAAAAAATGAAAAAAAACTTTTCGGTGCACTTTAATCAGAGGAGCTAGGTTTTATGAGGCTAAAATTTGGCCATGTGTAGAGTAATTAAAACACAACGAAAAATAGTTTTTTTTTTCGAAAATATCACTTATTTTTATCACGAAACATACACAGAAAACATGGATGTTTTTTCGGCCAATTTTCTTGAAAAATGCTGTGATGGATAAAAATACCCAGCATTATTTTCCTGACTAATTTGCCATGTTAACAATTTTCTGACCTATGATTGCGATTTTCTGACAGTTCTAACGCATGTAATGATAAATCATAATTTAAGAAATATTCGTAGAGTCGGTGAACTGTCGACTAGACGTTCGTTTATATGATTATTTACTGTTAGAATTCATACGTGAGAACTGGAATCTGACGATCTGATCTATTGCAATGATATTATAGTTCATCATCCATTTTTAAACATGTTAGTTCATAATTTTTCTTGTATATGATTCAGATCTGATTAAGTAGAGCTATTATGTTCAGTTGTTTTACGGTTGAAAAATCGTCACACTTTGAAAGTACAACAAACATTGAAAACCTGATGCAAAAAGTTGCGCCATTGTGTTGACGATATCACTATCCAATGTATTTATCCAGTTTCACATTCGTTAAATGTTTCATAATCATTGGGTAATCGAATTTTATAATAGTAATTTTGAGAGTTATGCAAAATTTTAATATGACTAAGAATCGACTGAGAAAGTGAATTTACTGAATATTTTCTGATATTGCATATCGTTGATTTCAATTACTTTATTACTTTAAATACTCCGTGACACTTTTCATTATATTTCGGAACTTAAGAATCACTGTTGTTGTTTTTGATTGTATCACTTTCTTTCAAACACTGAAGAATAGTTAGTTTTTGACGTTTCTTTTGTAATTTACTAGATATTTTCGATGAAATTGATGATAGTTCCTCATACAATGTAGCCATTAAAGGTTAGCTTGTCTTTTTGATATTGAAAAGATTAATTGTTCTTTAACAATAAATTCCTTTTTTAATCAAAAAAAAACTATGTGTCTTGAATGGCATTAAAACGAAAAAGTGATACAAATGGGATCGTATTTTGAGAAGCTTTAGGTAAGTGGGCATAACTTCTGAACAGATAAGTTATAAGATGAAAAAGACGTCTCATTTTGAAAAAAAACACTCAGCCGTAGGTGATTGTTTTAAAAGGAAAAAAGAATTTTTATTTTTAAATTGATAAAGGGCTCTTGATAGATTAGTGACGAGATTTTAACCTCTTTTTTTTATTTTATATATTGGCAGAGTTTAGATACATCATCTTCAATTATTGGTTATTTTTTTTTTAAAGCAGGTCTTTGAACTTGAATGACTGTAGATAATAGGAAACAAAATGTTATTTTAAACAGCCAAAAAAACACAGCAAAACAAATAGTAAACATCGGCTAAATTACGCTTGCTATTTAAATATTTCTCATACAGTTTTATTTTCCAGCCCAAGCATTAAATCGTCGACCTTCACGTAAATAAAATGGTATTGATCGTTTACCAGCCCAAGCATTAAATCGTTGTTTTGTCGGAACCATACGTTTACCAGCCCATGCGTTAAAACGTCTTTTTTCTAATTCATGTTCATCATCTGAACTATCATTTTCATCGTCAAAATCATTAATGTCACTTTCTTGATAGACGGGATAAAATTTTGTCGGATGGGAATCTTCTAATAATGATAGTAAAGTTGATGGATGTTGTTCTAAAATATGTATTTTTTGTTCATCATCTGCATTAACATCTTTTCCAATTTGATGTTCAAAAGCAAATGAATGCACAACGGTTAACTATATTAAAAACATGTATTATAAAATAAAAGATTGTTTATTTTTATCAATGACAAGACTTTTATTCTTACCATTAAAAATATCCAACATACAACACCGGGCAGTATCATGTCGATTTTCATTTTTTCCGCTATTTTTATACTGATCTAAAATGAAACGTAGTTATAAAATCTATGTATATATAACGGTAATTCATTACTTATATATTGATATGATAAGAACAAATATGAGTTTCTCTCTTCCAAAAGCAAAATAGATCATTGGAAAGTTATGAATAATAACGAGAAAAAAAGATGCGCGATCACAACAAATAATATAGACAAAAAAAAAAATTTGTCTGATCAAATTTAATTCCAAATAGTAAATATATATTTTTTCACATGAGTTAATTAACAGAACAGAGTCGTAAACAACGGAAATTGTTAGTAGACGAAACAATGTTAAGACAGACTATAGATCAATTATAATCATCGTCGTTTTTATTATTTGATATAAAACTAAACGAGCATCTGTTAGAATAACTATTTTCTCTCTATTCAAACTTTTTATTTTGGAAAATTTCTCTTACATACTCTTACATAGGAATAACACAAACAAAAATATAAGTTGTATAGAGTACGATGGAGAAAATCGGGCTGTTTTGGAGGCACTGGTCTCCGTTTGAATATCGCTCGTTTTCAGAAGTTCTTTTTTGTTTTTTCAATCAGCGGATAGACAAATGTTGGTTGTACCTTAGTATTCAATAACACGGTGATCCGATCAAAAGTGGCGTAGAAATACGCTAAAATATTGAGAAACTTTCAAAAAAATCTGGTTCCGATTCTGGTCTTGGTCCCGTAAAAAGTTCCGCGGAACTGGGACCATCTCGCAGACCTCTACTGTACAAAGGCTTACACAGTGCCATAAAGCGCGATTGTGTCTATACACCACATGTACTACATCAAGACTTATTTCTCGAACTATGTGTTTAACAAAATTTTTTTGCTCGATAAATGGTAGTTGAATAACTCTTTTTCTTCTAATAAAAAGTGTCTAAACTCGTTTCGGCGTAACGGAGTGAGCAGTATTTCGTCATTGGCGAAATCTTTGTTGGCAAGTAGTCGTATATGTAGTGAAATGGCAGGAAGTTTCTAAGCAACATACTGTCGTGGACAGATCCAAGATTTTAAAAAAAATAAGACGCCGGTTGTTAGATATAACATAAATGGACGCTAAACAACTTCGATCAAAAAAGGTTTTTACCAAACTTTCGCGAACGCTATTTCATATTATTTATAGTCTAGTATATTAATAGCAGTCAATAAACTTGTACATTACGGTTTTTTTAGAATAATATAGTTAATTAGAGGATTTTGTCTAGAAATGAGCATATTTGTATCAAATAACTGACCGTTCTTAGAAGATTTTTAAAAATCTACTTACCTAAAGTTTCTGAGAGGGATTAAAATATCAATTTCTTCCGCTGTTAACTAGAAATGATAGAAAAGCCACATTAGAAACATGATCTATAGAGAAGTGAATCTCGAATAGAGAGAGACTTCGTTTTTCATTTTTATTCAAAGCAGGACTGGGCAACTCCGCTGACTTTCAACTCCAACTCCGTTTTCAAATTTCCGATCCAACTCCAGCTCCAACTCTGTCAACAAAAAATCTCAACTCCGGTTGCTTCACTTTTGTAAGGAAGATTTTTCAATTTTTAGCAGGATTCTGGAAAAGTTTTTGAGCTTTTTTCGGTCGGAAAGCGCAAAGAACTTCCGAATTTACTCGTGAATACAGCCACTCAATCGTTTAGAAGATCAGTTTTACAACCATTGAATATTTCCAAAAATACAAAACGGAGTTCAGAATCAAAATTCAAAAACCCAACTCCAACTCCACCAAAAAAATCCTCAACTCCAGAGTTGGAGTTGCCCAGTCCTGATTCAAAGTTCTTATTTTTCATTTTATTTTAACCTGTAAAGTAAATGAACTTTATTTCTTACCTCTAGTAATGTGGAAATTTATTGAGTTATACTATCTCTCTATTCTAAAAGTATGAAAAAAAAAAACACAGAAGTATATAATTTTTTGACAAAAACAAAAAAAAAGTTTTATTATAATTTTTTACAATGAAAAAAAAACTTCACCACTTATCATCATCATATTATCATTCTCGTAGATGTATATATATAGAGAGACAATAATCATCGCCGATCGAACAGACAGCTTTTTTTATTTTTTTTTCAACTCGTTTTTTTTCTCTTCTCGTTAGAAGCAACCCTCAATACTCGGAAAAGAAGAATGTAGGCAGATCAATCTTTAATAAATTTAATATTCGTATTCGAGGTAGATATTACATTGACTCACCACTCAACTAATCAGTGATGAATTGTAAATTAATGATTGATTGGAAGTAATAAAAATCGCAACAAGAAGTAGCATATTCTCTCACTCTCTTTTTTACCCGTATAATTCATTAATTATTCAAACAAATGTTTAATATTTTATTGGAAATTATTTTCTATGCCATATATGAACAACAATAACAATTCTGTTACAATTAGTAATAGAGAATGAGAAAGAAGAAAAATAGAAGAAAAAAAAGGAAGAAGCGGAAAAAGAATAACATTTGCTTTTACAATAAACGCCCTCCCTCAATTTATAAGATTTGATAAGATACAACGAAAAAAAATTTCTTCTCTTTTCTCAGCTTAATATTTGCTCAAAAATTGGAACGGCATAAACTTAATAATGTTTTAGTTGTCAATTTTAATATCAACGATCAACGATTGCATCATATCAACACATTAAGATTCAATTGTTTTCTCAATCTTTTAATCATAAAGTCATTTCTTCGATAAAAATTTTGAAAAAAATGAAGTCTTGTTTGATCAAGTTACGGAGAAAGAATTTTCTCAATATTCACTACATACTACAAATCTTATTAAACTTTCACATTCTTATTCAAATAAGCTCGAAAGAGTTCATATTCTTGATTTTTTACCATTAATTTTATTATTGACTTTTACCTTCCATCAATTAGGTCGAGCATTCGATTTGTTTGTTATGACATTTTTCATCATAAGTATCGACTAAAAGCAACAAAAAAAAAAAAACTATCATTTTTTAAAGCACTTTTTGAACTTTATAATTTATCTTAAAAGTAGAAAATTTGTGTAACATTATCAATCGATTGACTATAGACAAACTTTTCAGAAATTGATCAAGTGCATGACTAAACGACCAGACAAATACGTTTTTTTGTCTTATAAATAAGAGAACATCGTAAATTGACAGTAAATTTAATTGTATCTGTCTCTCAAAGCATTGAATGAGCGAGAGATGAATTTATTAGAGAAAAATGACTTAATTACCAGATAATTTCTTTAAAATTTTTCTTTCCGTATTTTCTCAACTATCATCGGTTATTGTTATGAAGATTATTATTAAGAATGTTTGATTTTTAGCCGAAACTGTACAATTCTGATTATGTTCAATATCAATGTCATTATTTTTTCTATATTTATTTGTTTTTTCGAAGTTCTTTCCTACTTATTATAATTTTATACTGACAAAATAATTTAGAGAACAGATAAAAAAACGTTTATAATTAATCAAAAATAGTGTCTTAATAGTGTGTTAATTTGAATAATATATTTTTGGATAAACTGTTCTGTAATGCTCCGTGAAACTACGACAAAATTCCTTCATGGTCAATCAGTTTTTTATTTTGTTTTTCCATAAACAGAAATAAAATAAAATTTTTCGTTTTTATGTGATTATACTAGTGTTTCAAACACTTTCTTTTTATCACTTATGATAGATTGTTAATCTCTTCTAAGTTAACTTCTAATTTCTATCCTTAAGTTACAGAATAATATCGGAAATAGCCATTATTTTATTCATTCACAGAGGCGGAATTTTGATAGCTATAACCTATTTAGATTCAAACTATCTATCGAGAAATGGCGAGATAATGAAGTAAAAAATATCGCGTTTTTGTTTTTTCTTTCTGCAATATTTTAACGTTTTGTTGATTGTTCGAGATAATTATTTGTTTAGAAAGACTTATACGCGTAAATAAGGGAAAATCTAATGCAGCACCCATAGAGCTGAGAGTACTGCTAATATCTGAAAAAAAGATAAGATCAATATTTCTTCTTCATTCTATCGCCATATTCACCTAATCGAGAATCTTTAAAAACTTGTTCAGTCGACTACAGATTCAGACTCTACTTTGCAAACAAACAATTTTGGGTGAAAGTCTTACTGTAAAAAAGTTTTCGATGCTGATTAGTCAAGAACGTCTTAAACAATTATTATGTAAAAAAGCAATAGGAAAACAAAGTTCAGGATCGCGACTCATAATTTATTGCGTACAATTTAATGAATTAGGGAGTGTACGAATGATGTTTAATATGTTCAATGTCGCATATTCACACTCGCATGAAGATTCTTTCTGATATAGAATTGCATGTGGCTGCGAGATCCATTATCTTTGATTATATACTGTGTTGGACCAGTTTTTTTCTCAGCGAAAAGGTTAACTCGGAGTTGAAAATCTATACACAAATTCAACTTTAATAAAAAGAAAAAGCTCTAGAATTGAAGTTGCTTAGTTCTGCTTCAACAGCAATAATTCTAGCAGAAGATTACACTAAATATTATTATTTACATCAATATTCTTGAATTACTTTAAACGTATAATTCCAATATTTAGACATAGAATAAACACAACTGTTTCAAATTTCAATCCTTCTTCAAATAATTAACTAAAAACTTATTCATGCAACTTGCAATATATTAGAATCATCGTTACGTATAAATTAATCAAAAGCATGTCAACTAGTTCAATAAATATGACTTGTTAATTAACGCAACTAAACGTTACTAAGGTAGTAACGCAGAATTCTCTTCGACGTAATGTAAACATTTTTGAAGTTAGAGTATTTAATTAATCATTGAGAGCAGCTGTTCGTTAGAAAAATAGTCACTCTTAAAATTCAACTTGCGCACTCTAAAAAAAAGTCGTAGATTAAAAAACTGGAATCGTTTTGTAGACTTGCTAAAAAACTGTTTACAGTTTTTCATTGAAACTAAAAAATCCAAACTAGTTTTTTGTTCAGTAATAAACCGATGGTTTTTTATCCGAGGGTTTTTTGGTTAAAAAGAAAGATTATTAAAAAACTATCACGAGTTTTTTATCGATAATAAAAAACCGACATAGTTTTTATTTTTCGTAAAAAACCATTTACTTTTTTTTGAAAATAAAGCTTAAAATAAAAAGAGTTTTTCGATAGATCCAAAAAACTACCTTAGTTTTTCATCATTTTTAAAAAACCACTGTCGTTTTTTATTACAGTTGAAAAACCATACATTTTTGTAAACAACCAAAATCTAGAATACTTATTTTCTTTTCATTTTAAAAATGAAAGTGAGTCATCGTTTTTTATTCTGATTCCGAAATGGAGCGATTCACTTATTATGTTGCCAATTCTTTGTTTGCTTGTTGACACACATACGGATAAAAGCTTGCGACGGAGAACGAGTTTCTTATTCGCTTTAGATTTCTGAATCGAGAAGACTTCACGAATTTACTGAAATTTGGTTTGTTCCTATTCATTAGGTCGCCAGTGAATGAAAATTGTGTATTGAACCTACGCCCAAACTACAGGAATGTTCTAATCAGTCGAGGAATCTGTAGTTTACGAGATCAGCAAGTGTAGAAAACAGACTTACGGCGACACGGTGAATTTTCAAGAAAACAGAAAATTTGAGCCTATGGTTCCGAAAAACCTATGTGAAACTTTTGTCAGAAAGATTTTACACTCACCATTAATCCGAAGAGAATATTTCAATTAAAAAAATTTTCTGCGAAAATTGAGTTTTAAGTATGCTATTAGAGCCAGTTTTGCCTGCTGATCTCAAATATGTTACAAGTTTTGCTTGAAATTATAAGGTAAGTGAAAAGGGCGCAAAGTAAGTGAAGTGGTAAAGGTCAGAGATGAGTACACACTTTTTTTAATTGAAATATTCTCTTCGGGTTAATGGTGAGTGTGAAATCTTTCTGACAAAAGTTTCACATAGGTTTTTCGGAACCATAGGTTTCTCTGTGATTATTTTTTCATGAGTATGATGTACACTGAATGCAGATTCTATAGTAGAAAGAGCGACACTTAGCTAGTCATCCTCGCTCTTCTACGTATATTTCAGTTGTGGGTGGTCGTTCTGAATGAATTTCCAGAACCACATAATAGTTAATCTTCATATTTTGGCTAGATCATCTACAGACACTGTAGAGTTTTTGATGCGAATTTGTAGTCAAAACAATGCACCTTGACTGAGTTGTGAACTTATTTTCGCACAGGGCCTCGGATTTTCAAAGCGATTCTCGCCCGTAAAATAGCTGTATTTCATCGACTACTAACAACCAACTCACGAAATTCATATCGCAGATAGAGTAGAGTCGTGGGTACATTTTGGTAACAAGAAAAAGTTTTCATCTCTCTTAGATCAGGAGCTACTGATATTTTACGGAAAAGAAATAAATCGCTTATATCTCACGAACCATTCAGTAAAAGAGGCTAAAACTTGGTGGATGATCAGCATTCGGTATGAGCTATGACCATACAATTTTAGAAGTCTCTAGCTGTCATGGTTCTTGAGTTACAGGGATGTCACTACTTTTGCCCATATATTATAGGCTTCCCGTTCTCAAGAGATTAATGAATGGGTTTTCCAAACCAAAATGTTGAATAAAATTTATCAATGATTGAACAGAACTGATTTATTCTATTCTAGCACTTTTTAGAGCGTTTCCAATAGAGGCATTCTTAGATCGTCTTCGTTTTGTCCCTTCTCTGAAAAATTCTTTTTCTTCTTGTTACCTTTTTATTGTAATTTAAACGAGTGTGAAGAAAAAATGCAAGAAAAAATGTATGCTCCACCTAACTTCAAAATGGACAATCAAACGAACGATGATGAATTTTTTTTTCCAGATGCCGACCTCTTATCAAAATCCTGGCTACATGTCTGCTTCGATATGTTCAAGTTTCCTATTATGCTTTGCATATAACTGGATATCTCCTGCTCCTGGTCTATGTTCTATGATACATCAGTTATCTGAAATAAATAAATAAGACAAATATGTATCAGGAGTTCTACATTTACAAACATGGGTATGATGGCAAATGCATTGAAGCACTAAATAAAAAAAAAGTAAAACTATATATTGTTTTTATACAAAACTAAATATCACATTTCATCGACAACAACAAATTTAAGAGTTATAAATTATGATATGTAGCAAGCACCGAAAAATTATCGTCACTGACTAGAGATATGTTAATGCTTAAGTGTTGCCCGGTTTCGTTCCGAATTCTACTCTCGATGGTTTTAATGTTTCACGATTTCTCTGTTTACTTGGATCTCTTGGTGTAACAACCAACACAGGTGGTTTCCATTCTTTTTTCTTAACAGATTTATTTGTATCTTCAATACTGTTTGCCGACGATTTTATACGTTCAAGCTCGGCTCGTAGGTCTTTATTCATTCGATCTAATTCATCAATTTTTAAATCACGCCATTTAATCTCATTTAAATTATCTTGTTCAATTTTAGGTTGTAAAACATCTTTGGAACATATCGCTGATAATTCTGTCACTTGATCAGTACCAAATAAGCGTGCTAACAAATCATAAAATGGTTTATTTTTGTTATCTTGTAACGGTAATTTTCGACTTGTATACAATGAATCGTACAGTTCATCTTTCAACTTATCAGTACCAATTCCTCGACCCCTTAATGATTCTATTTCAGTTGTATAACGTTTTAATTTATTTTGCATTTGATCCATTGTATCTCCATCTAAACCACTTTGTAAGATGGTAGTTTTCAACATTTTATCTAAACAAAAAAAAGCAAATTTCTAATCATAATATAATTAGAAACAATGAGTATAAAGTCTCTGTACCCAATTGTCGTAACCAATCTGTCAGCATGATCATTTTATCATGCATTTTGAATACAGAACGATTGTTCGCATCCACCTTGAACATATCACATGCGATAAAATATGAACGAAAGGATAACGTCATGTTCCCGTACGTACCATTCTTATCTGACTAGACCATTTTTGTTCAAAATCAGATTTCAGACGATCAACTTCACCACGCAATTCTCTCATTTCTTCTTCCTATAAAATAAAACATATCAATAAACCATCATTTATTTGTGTATAATGGCAATGATTACTTTTCGTTGACGAGCAAACTGTTCCGATTTTAATGCATCTTTAAATACAATGACGTTTCGTTTTTCTTCTTCAATTGTTTCAATTAATTTTTGTTGTGCCTCATAATGTTGACGTTTTAAATTAATTAATTCAACCGATTTTCCTTGGTTCTGTGGTCTCCACGTTTCTTTGAGAAAAGCTTTCAACAGCTAAAGAGAAAAATGATCAAATATCTTAAATAGTCAATTGGAGGATATATCTCACTTGCTCTTGAAGATAAATTTTTAGTTTTTCTCGTGTTTCAACTTTTAATTTATCCACTCCCGGACATTTTCGCAAGAAGTCATCGTCGATAACGATTTCCCCAGTAGTATCCATCATATCGCCGGCTTTTTTCTCTAAAGAACAAAAGAAAAATTTGATTTAAAATGATACATTAAAAAACAAAATTATCTACCTTCTGCTTCGAGAAATTCACCAAGAAATGGTTGTCCATTAGCGATTAATGCTTCGGAAAATCTGTTAAAAGCCAAATCAGCATTTTCAATTAGACTTGGAAGAAATTTTTTGTTTCGTTCGCTCAAACTCGTGGTACTCTTAAAAAACGATATAAATGTCAATTGTTAACTTTTTCTAAGAAAATGTTCATTATGTTTTTTATACACAATGAAAAGTTGATAAACTTCGCAAAAAATTGAGCTAGAACGTGCTAACAAAATGAGATTTTCAACAATTTTTTGTGCTATAAGTTATCAATATTTCTTTTTCAACATATTGATATACACTAAGACACATCACCGTAAATTTTTAGATACTGTTCAGCGTGCTCGCTTCTCTCGTATATAACAGATTTCCTGTAAATGTATTTTGTTTGCAGAAAAAACGAGAAAACTCTGCAGATCTGTCATTTTGTTTCAAAGTAAAAAGCGTCAACCTAAAATGTTCGGTTTCAGCAGATTATACTGCTCAGCGCAAAACGACTGCAAAACAATAGATAAATGAAAACAAGATCTTGGCAGATCCGTCCCTGTCTCGCGCCGAAATGTGCGATTTTCTAGTGAAGGAATTCTCTAGATATATCTTGCGCAGTTTCGGTTGTAGTAATTAGATTCCCTATCTCTATGTATAACATTCCCTTCTTTTCTTTCACACTATAATTAATCACGTATTAATTATCTCGATCGTAGAAAGTTTCTAAGTCCCAAATTTGGAGTGACCCTGTTTACGGCATATATCTGAGAAAACTAAAAAGGGTAACGCAAAAACAACCTTGGATGTGTTGTATTCAGTGTGAGTTTTAAATTCTCTTTTTTGTCTCCGTTGTCTATAATATGAAATTACCGAGATCGACGGACAGAAAAATGTGCTCGAGGTATATCGACGATTGTTTAATTATCGTTTGTGCGCCTACGACTAGGATCATTAATAGACTGGTCAATATACTGGGAAAAACACTGTTTCCTATAAATCTTCCGAATTGTCGCTCGTACAAAGTTTCGTCCTCAGAAATGGCACATCTACATAATATAACAAATATAAAGTCCGAAGGAACCAGATTGATCAGATGAGGCGTTGATAAAGAAGTGTCCGTCACCGGATTTGAATCTTGTGCGTTTTTAAATTGTCGATTGCCGGTTTTACTAAAAGCTTGACCTCGCCTCGAGCTATAGCTACCTACGAGACAGGGTAAAAACATGTCATCCTTAGTGGTATAAAATATTCTAATCGCAGATACAATATAAAGCTTTTCAAGGGCTACAATTAGACTAACTTCTATTTTCTACTATACCTTAATATACAAAGAGCAGAAATAGAAATGAGCAATACGAGTGATTTTACGCTCTGCATCCTGGTCTACAACAATTTCATGAGCTGGACGTTTTCAGTGGAATTTTTGTGAATCGGTATAAGCTTTATTTTGTCAGAATACAAGCGGAAGAATATTCCATTATAGTATTCCAAACTAAAACTGTCGAAGAACACAAAATCAATTTTGTACGAATAAAGATTCGAACATGTGAACTTTTTATGAATTGCGTATAACTTTCACTAAGGAATGAAATGCATTTGATTCTAATGCATAAGTAAGTGTATAGAAGCTAGGTTTCATATCTAAATTTTGTAATAACGCAGCTTCGTCAACAGTGCCATCACTCAACGATTGGCGTTGATGTTCTAAAATATCTTTCCAAATTAGCTTAAAAAGAGATCTACATTTTGCGGGCTAGAACCGGTCTATAAGACGAACCAAGATGGACCTACACATCTCTAAACTAAAATAGAAAAGGCTTTTATTAGTTAGAAAGCTCTTCTTGTTCATGTCTCCTCGCACAATTTTTCTCAAAGTCTACCAGTTTTCCATCGTATATAAAAAATGCAATAGGCATTTTACAAAAAAATTGAAAGAATATTTTTGAATAAAAGATGAAGTTTAATCGATAAAAACCAGAAAAGGCTCATTCTTCATGATACACTCGATGGTTGACTTTTTGGCATATTTACAAAAGATAAACTAATTAAAACTCGCATGAAGGCAAATTAATCTAAGTCATTCAAAACCTAATCCAGATAACAAGACAGCTATATTTTTGGTTGTTCTTTTTAATGCTTCAAAGAAGTCAAAATACCCAAATTTCAAGTGTGAATTCAGAGTTTTGAGAACAAAATTAAGCTATTAGATAGACCCTACCCAAAATATCCCACGGACATTTTGCGTTCTGAAAGAAAGGATAAAAACAAAACAATTGGAAAGTCGTTACGTAAACTGTGAATTTGCAGTTGAGAGTCGCGATGTGAAAATTTATCTGTAAAAGAAAATAAGTGTTCTGATGGGATAAAGGAGAATTGGAAATTGTTAGGATGTGATGCTACGGAAACGAGTGCCATTAGGTGTTTTCAATCATCGGAAAGACGAATAAAGTTTATTGAAAGCTACTGTAAATACTTCGGAGAATTGGAAATGAGATTGTGTTGAATACTTCAGAAAGAACATTTCCATCTTCCAAAATATAATTTCACAGTTCACATATTTCATTTTTAGAAGAGACATTTTTTATTTATTACAACCAAGCTCATTTCACTTTTTCCAAGAGTGCCTTAAGTCAAGGTGTCCACTTACTTTAATTTCGTCGAAGACGAAATCTGGTAACACTCTTTTATCTTTAAACCATTTCAAAAATTGATCGGTTAATACCAAATTATTTTCTAATAAATTTCGATATTGTTCAATTAAATCTCGTTTTTTCAAATTTACCATATCGCTTTGGTTTTGTTATAAAATATTTGTTAAACTAAAAATCTCTTTTTTAAACTTTGGTTTTTTCTTCTTCTGTGTTGCTCAAAAATGATCTTTCACATCGCAGAGGCAGCTTATTTAATTTTTTTTATTCTTTTTTCGCTCTCTCTCTCTCTCTCGCTCCCTCTCTCTTCGTTTACGATGATTGTAAAAATGTATGCATGTGTGAGTGAGTGATGTATTTGATTTGTTCATGACACGATGAATGTGTAAAGTCTATAGAATAAGTGTGTGTCATCAAAAGAAAAAAAATCTTAAAGAATGAAATTATAAAGTATTTAAATTATCGTGTTTCTGTTACTGATAGAGAGATGGTACGACAACACAAATGTTGTTTTTAGTACTCACAATTTTATTTTTTCTATTTTTCATAGAGTATAGACAATAATAAAATTACAGCAAAACTTCGTGAAATCCAGGTGTTGTATGTCGAGCGAGAAATGAAAAACTCAGCTTTCGTTTTTCTCAACTTTTGCTAGCCCTGTATTTATTACTTGTTTACACGGATCGGTATGATTATCTTCTTCTTGTGTACTATTAATCTGATGTGAAATAACATATAACTACGCTAATGGAATTTCTTACAATCAAGACCTTGTAAATAGAAATGTTAAAATACTGACGAGGGAACCTTTCAAACTGTTACGTCGCTTTTTCAACCAAATCTAGTGGATTATAGGTAATCGACCACGCTGATCCCGAATATGAACATGAAACCTGCCATTAGGCCTTCAAAGATTCGGTTTTCTGGAACACCAGTTTTTCAGAAACTCTAAAAAGCAACCAAAACCTTTCTGAATGAGCCACGATTGGAACCTGCAAATTTCTGATTAAAATGAGACATCTCCCAGTTCGACATGACCTTTCTTTGCAAAATTCTATAATTTACAAGAAAAGCTCTAAATTAATTTTTCTTTCTGTTTTCTGTAGCTTTGAGCTAACAACGAACAATTGATGCTTTTCTTGTAAATTCTATAATTTTGCAAAGAAAGGTCATGTAGAGCTGGGAGATGTCTCATTTTAATCAGAAATTTGCAGGCTACAATCATGGTTCTCCACTTTTTTTTCATATATGATAGTCATAGTCGTCAGATATACGATAATATATCATCCTAGGCTCTTCTATGGACAACTATGATCCAGGATGAAAATATTTTGAAGTTGCTCTAAAAATGAAAACAAGAGTCTAAAGTACAATAATGATTTAAAACTATCAACAACTTGTTTACAAGAAGTTCCATTAGAATGCCGCTACCCTAGTGTGATGATGATATATCAGCTGAATAATTCAGAGAGAATTCCATTTTATCTAAATATAAGGTTTCTAATTTAATTGAACGAGTATAAGCATTGCACTTTATTAATAATTCATTGTACTATTGATTGATTCTCTTGTTCAAATTAGCAAAGTTTTTTAGATGCACTTTCCTTTTAAAAAAAAGGAAATTAGTAAAAGATAATTAACTTTAAGGACGTTGTCATAAATCATAGCTTTTGAGCTTCTTAACATATTGTGAACGATTTATTTTCTCGTCTGTACCATTGTATTTAAACTAGAATCGATTATGTGAGAATATTGTCAGTTGTTTCTGTTGAACAAAGTAATGTATTTCGAATTTCAACGTCTGAGCAATCCACATAAATTTGATTAATAAAACATATCAAGAGTTCAGTAAAAAAAAGTAATTTTGTTTTTCTAAAAGAAATCAAGAATTGAATATTTAATTTCTTTAACACAATAGTTTGTTGGAAAATACATTTTTCTATAAGAAAGAAAGTGAATAAAAGAATGTCATTAATCGTACTACTTATTTAAATTCTATTTTTGTGGATAGATATAAATATAGGACGCTTTTCAATTTACTCAATATGTTTTTTTATCTACTATTCTCGGACACATTGATATTTTAGAGGTACGTTATAGATACTTCATTCTCTTTCTTGCTTCATTGGTCACATTGTTTCATTTCAAGATCAAATGACCGTCAGAAATTTGATAAACAAACGTGTCTAAGCAAGATGATTTAGAATACTGTTCTGACTCTCTTTTTTTCTTTTATTCACTTAGATCCATATATTTTCTATTTATAATTTCTATAACAAAAAAAAACAACTGAACTTTTTTTTTTTGTACACAGGAAAAAATGGTCATGGAATCGATTCCTACTGGAACATGGTGATAGGAAATCGTATATTTTCATTGTTCATTTTTTCTTATAGTATATAATTGATGTATTATAACAACAAAAACAAGGGAATGTCTCAACAGGAAACTACCTGGTTTTTTTTTTTATATCAAGTATATGGAAATGTTCCGTTCTATGAAGTGAATGAGGTATATTGGAAATAGAAATTTGTTTCACGTTTTGATACAAAAGTGTTTAAACTAATATGAATGGCAAAGTGTTTTTCTTTCCTTACCTATAGATATTTTCTTTGTAATACAATACTAAAAAAATTTTGAATAAAACATAACAATTTTTATCATAAAAGAGCAATTTTGAACGTTTTTTATGCCATTGATAATTAGCCGGAAGACATTTCAATATTCAAAATTGTCTTAGAAAATTTTGAATAGAAAAGTAAAATAGACAATATCTAAAAATTCTATCCAGCAACATTTAATGTCAAACTGAATTTAAAAAAGAAATATAGAAAAATGAACAGAGTTTACCATTCAGAATTTAGTGATAAAAACTATACAACGAAGAGACATCTATCCTATCATTTTACTTAAAATTCTCTATCTACTACTCTACAAGCAGAAAATCGGCTCAGAATTTTATATATATAAAATTTTTGAACTGTTGTATTCAATATAAAATTGATTTGTCTGAAATTGGCTAATTTCACACTTCTGTCTTCTCTACATACTCCAAACTGTTTTTTTTAAATTTTTCATCCACAAACAATTAAAACTGTGATTACTAAGAATAATTTCCAAAATCTGAAACATGGTTATGGTCTGCTAGTATTTATCTGTTTCCATTCTACATTTACCAGAATTTTTGGTATTCTAAACAAAGTTGTTTGATGAAACTTTGTATTTTAGTTTGTTCTGAAGAAACATTTGCTTATTGATCTTTTTTGTATATTCGATGCAAGTATCACCGAGTTCATTGACCAAACATAGGTGTATACAATATAAAATTTTCTATCTAAATATAGACTTCAAATGCATGGTGAGAACATTTGTTTTTCTAAAAGCTTTTCACACAAGATAGCTGCCCCTCAAATCGCTCAGATGACGTTTCTTTAATATATACAGATCTTAGTCACGTTAAATCTTCATGTCTCTGTGGCTGTCTGTTATTAGTCATCGTCAATTCTAATTGCGACGTGACGGACCTAAAAGTGCGTGAACTCAAATAAAACCAAAAATATTTGGACTTCACGAACATTTTCATCCAACAAATTTGATCGAAATCCAACTTCAGTACTCAAAAGATAAGCATCTCTTGTTAAAATAAAAGATTTTAAACTCTTTGTGTTTAGGAAAAAATTGAAAAATACTGTTAACTGTTTCGTATTAACTGAGAAAACTTCATTTTGCCGTGAAAATGACCGTTACGCTTTCTTTTAAAGTATTTTAGCCATAATATCGCTACAATCGAACGGAGCGTAGTTTTTCTCTAGATGAATACTTTTTTCACTTCTGTTTGAAATCATAATTTGTGGAAGGGATGAAACAGGATAGAGATAAAGAACATTCTTTCCTTTTACTCAGTATATTTAGAATTAATTTTTCGTAACTGACTATTACCTTGTCTATCGTCTTATCTATTTGCTCAACGTTATTCCGGATCATAAAACGGTTAAAATTAACATTTCAACAAAAATATTTTGGAAAAAACTAGCATTACGAGCGATGCCAAAAATCTAAACATGATCCAAATAACTGATTGGACGAAAGATGTTGAGTATATACGACAATTATTCGACTCGTATCAATTGGAATTAAACAACGAGAAGTTATATACACAATTCAGTTTAAGAGTAATTATTTAGTATCTATGTTTTTTCGATAAAAAATATTTTGACCTGTTGTCAATTGAGTTCTTATATTTGATGAACGTCACAAATCTTTTGTACCATGATTTGACACGCAATCCAAAACTATTTTAGTATTGTTTGATGCAATACTAATATTATTATTACAAAACTACTTTCTTAATAAAACAGTGTTTTCATATTTCGATACACTGCAATTATTACATTTGATATTTTGTTGTCTTTTTACGTTTTTGAAGAAACATAATATATTTCATACAATTGAAATACGTTAAGGAAAAGCATTTACAAAATTTTGCGAGCATTCGACACAAATTGAATGTTCTAGAACATAAACATTAGAGAAAAACGAAGTCTTGAAATACAACAATAAATCATGCGTTTTAAAAATCCAGCTAGGATTGAGAATGCTTCTTAATTTCGAATTTCCGAATGTTGAACTTTATGTATATGTTCACTTCTTCAACAGCTCTACTTAAATAATAATCTTTGTCCGAATGGTTCTTTCAAAATCGTTGATAAAGAATGTTTATCATATCATATATTCGTGGATGGTGCAAGAAAAACGCTAGAGTGATTTTTGACGGCATTGACAAGAATTGATCTCACACTACATAAATAACACCATTGTGATACATAATAACATTTTCATAATTGTGTAGGCTTTGTTGAACATTGCTGACTCTACAAAATTTGACACTGCAGATTGGAGGATCAGTCAACATGCGGTACTAGAGTGATTCTAGCAAAGCACTGATTATAGTGCTAATATCTAAGGATATAAGAATCCAAGTGTGATTCCTTCACATGCACCAAATGCGATCTCATCGATAATTCTCACTGGGGTACTATAAGACTATCGCCTTTCTCATTTATATTTTCAGATCAAAGAAGTATGATTTAGTCTTGTACAAACCACATTTTGTCCAAACACAGATTGCTTATCTTAGGTTTGATATTCATAAGCCACACATTTAGTCTATAATATTTTTTGAATGCTAACGAGGAAACATATCCAACTGTTACCTAGTTTTTCCAGTCAAGTCCACTAGGTTATAGGTAATCGACTACGCTGATCCCGAATATGAACATGAGAGCTGCTCTTAGGCCTTTGAAGATTTAGGGCTTCTCTTGTAAATTATATAACTTTGCAAAGAAAGTAGAGCTGGGAGAGGTCTCATTTTAACCAGAATTGTGCGCACTGCAATTATGCCTCATTAAGAAAGGTTTTGGTTCTTTTTTAGTTTCTGAAAAACTGGTTTTCCAGTAAACCGGATCTTTGAAGGCCTAGTGGGACCTCTCATGCTCATATTCGGAATCAGCGTGATCGATTACCTATAACCCAGTGGGTTTGACTGAAAAAGCGAGGTAACAGTTGAATATGTTTCCTCGTAAGTTATCGGATGCGAACATGCTTGTATTTTCACCCTAAATATCAGATCTTTCTTTAGTTCAAAATAAAAATTTATCTAATTTCTTATACAAAGAAATGCAAGATGTTGAAACATTTTGTGCAGACAAGATTTGACAGAAATCTTTTACTAGAATCTTTGTCAACTGTGATGGAGAAGAGAAGTATTAACTTACAGATCGAATGCTCAATAATCTATACTGATTGAAGTACGAACTTAACTTTGCAAATTCAATGCATCACACATGCTCTGATTTAATATAAATTGTTTTCAGGATGAAATAAATATGTTTGATCAAGAAGGCTCGTTCTCGCAATCTTTTAACTGGAAATGCTAAAAACTTCAAAACTCATTTGTGAAATTGGAAAAAATGAAGCATTTATTAGATAAGGTAGACTCAAAAAAGGTTAGACAATTTCCGATATTATAGGAAAGTTAAGGGAAGTTCACTACTATTTTCGGGAATTAAGGGAGCTAATGTCCGCTCCAGCTGCAGTTTGTACAACAAATACTTCAGAGTCTATCACAGATTCGAATTTTTTTTGCAAAAAATACGTTTTCTTTCTCGAAATATTCGAAAAATACTGATTCCACATTTTTCAACGTAAGATTAGAAAATACGAAGGAGGGCAGTATCCTTAACATTATACTGTCGAAGTTCATATTAGTAAAAGATATAAGATATATCTCTTTTTCTCAGTTTTTTTTCATAGGATCATGCCAAAATAACTGTAAGATCGCTGCTTTGCGACTTGTTTTAACAATCTTCAGATTATAATGATCCGTTATTGATAGTAAATAATTCTACATAAAACTGTTTGATTAGCCAATTGAGAAAATAGCGCAATGAACGCTCGTTCTCTCATAATTATTCATTGAACGGTTCTATCTTTAGACAGAGTACCAACACATTAGTTGTTACTCACAATTATATTTTGTTTTGCATTTATTTGGACAACCTTCTAGACATTGAAATAAAAGCATGTATCTGATACACTGTTGTAGTGTTTGATATTGAGATGAATCGATAATTAAAACTTGAAAAATAAATTATTTTTGTTAATCAATGTGTCCAACAAGTTTGCGATAAATTCTTTATTAACATCAAGTTTGTCTTTACTGTTTTGAGTAAACTTGTAAGATAGGATAAGAGCTTAAAAGGTTGTACACAAAAAATGACGGTGCACGATAAAGCATCTTTGATTGCACTTACACACTAGCGATAGCAATTTGTAAAATATCGATCTACTAACTCAGATAAGAGAAAGCGACAAACTTAAGTGCTAAAATATGCGAAAAATGTAGATAAACGGCATTCGGAAATGTTACTCGTCCATCTGAGATGTTATGAAGTGCTGTTAAGTGATTTATCAGTGCATGTTATCTATACATATGTATCGTCTTTTTAAATGTAGGACTGACATTTTATCGGATAAAAGTTGCCATCTTGAAATTCTGAAAAGTATGGACGCGAAAAAATAAAATTTATCTTTGTTTGTTCAGCCTTTTAGTAAACTTTGAACAATATAAATATGGAGAAGGTAAGTAAGTCTAATCACTTTATCTCATTTCTGGAAGTTTCAATAAACGTGCATAGTCTTCAACATGTTGAGGTAAGCATCAAATTGATTTTAAAACCACGGATAAAGGTATGTAGTATATTTTCTTTCTAGTTACGTCATACTAATTATATTGCTCGGTATCAACTTCGCTGTTACACTACCAGTTTCTACACAGCCAAGTGCGATATTATCAGGTCAGTTATTTTTCATCTCCGTTTTAATTCTTCTCGCCTCAGGCTTGCTTCGATAGAAAGCGCATCATAAATCATTAATCTAGTATAGAAGAACTCTCAGAATTTAGTCGGATGAATCTTTATTTCTTTCGACATGAGCCTCAACCGACATTTGTCATTGGGATACGCTCGCAACCATTTCTTGACTAGTGGTGAAGCTAGAAAAAGATGCTAGGTCAGACTTAGTCCTCGATTTCTTATGGTAATCCAAAAGAAGAAAACTATTCGTATAGCGGAACGGTTAAAGTTCCTAAGTTCTAAAAGTATCAGCGAGGATTTCAGAATTCTCGCTTCCAGAGCCCTGCATCACCAATGTCGTGTCCTATGGGAGTCAATCTTTATCCTTTTTTTTGTCTGCAAAAATATCGTTCCAAAAATGTCTATTATTTTAATTTTATTTTATTTTTATATTAAATAAAAATAATATAAAAGTGTCTAAAGTTTCTCAGTCAAAGACTATCTGAATCTAAAAAATTGTTTTTAAGTATTCTTACTGATACACGTTCAGATGTTGCTAAATTTTTTTCTAGATTAAAGAGCGCATAACTTCTAATCTGTTTCACAATAGTCTTAACGTTTAATGTATCCTATAGAACAGGACAAGGTTAGCTACATGGCTCTTTTCGTCATAAATCTCTTCTCTTATCAATATCTGTGTGCTTGACATAAACATCGTTGAGCTGATTTCTTCAAAATTCTTTATTTCTCTGTTCGAAACAATGTGAAAGTGATTCGCTATCATACGCACAGTTTTTTTGATTTTAGATATTAAAAGTGATAGTGCTGTTTACTATAAATGGCTTCCCTATTTCAAAGATAATGAGAATCAAATAAATTCTACTGTTCTGCCATTGAATCAAGAGATTAACTCAAAAAAAGAAGATGTTTCATTCACCCCCGTAATTTCAACAAATGAACCAACAATTTCAGATTTCGTCAATGAATCAGAGGAAAAATCTCCGAAACAAAATGAAAATGAAGAACCAGAGAAGAAAAAAGATGTTCCATTCATCCCCGTAATTTCAGTAAATGATCCAACAATTACAGATTTCGTCGCTGAATCAAAGAAAAAACCTCCGAAAAAAAATGAAAATGAAGAAGCATCGAAGAAAAAAGAAGGCAAACGTAATGGAAAAGAAAGTGATAATGAAAGTGACAAGGAAGATTGACGGACATACTTACAAAATATTCATTTGATTGTTTAATAGTTTTTATGCATCAGTATATTTATATGTAGTGAAAAATTGTTTAAATTTTCATTTCAAGTTAAAATAATTTAAATATTTTCTTTTTACGATACAATGAAGTGGTTCTCACAATTACATCTCCTTCCAATGTTACGAGCAAATCCCAATGAAAACAGACAACACATTTCTATGAGATCTGTAAAAAAATTCAACGGATCGTTTATATCAAAAACAAGAAAAAATAGTTCAATGTTTTTTCACATTTGAAATATAATAAATAAAAGACAAAAAAAAGAACGATAGATAAAATAGGAATGAAAAAAAACATTTTCATCTGTAAACACTGAGTATCGAAAAACCAAGAACATAACAATAATAAAATACGCTTTTTAAAACAGAAAATTACATATAGACAAAACGATTTGACAAGATACTTTGTTTTGTATAAAAACATGTTTTTTAATTTAACTGAGATTCGTGCGCTATTAAAATATATCTGACATCGATACAGATAGTATGTATGTTTTCCTGTAATAATAATAAAAACAAAACAAAAATCACATTTCATGTATAAAAAAAACAAAATCCTGAGTTAAGAAGTGATTACTTTCATTTGTATAGACGGCGAAAGAAAAATTATATACATTATTGCATAATAAATTTCTTATAAATTATGCTTTATCATAGGCTGTGAAAAAATACATGTCTGATATTGTTCATTGTTGTTCGTCAGTATTCCATTTTCAGTTAATGGTCTGTCTGAACGTTCTCGATCTGTGAAATAAAGCAACAAAAAATAAAACTAAAAGAGAATTTTAGCATATTTTTTAAGCGAAAATAAAATGCGCATATTAAGTTGATTGAAAGTAACCATACCAAAGCTAGTGATCGAGAAAAAATAAACGACAACGATAAGAGACGATTAAATTATTCATTTTGGATTATTCTACTATAATCATTAGCTTTGCTCGGTAAAATTGAATTAATGATGGATATTTAATGTGACTCCAATCAATTAATTTCGATTTTTCGTCACAAATCTTTTTCTATTGCGTAGAGTAGTAACTCAATGTGTTTAGAAAAATAGAATACTCCCTCTGTTTTTTTCTTCAAATATTCTTGATGACTAGTAACAACGATTTTTCTATTACGATATTATAGGCAGTACTTGCTCGATAAAAAAAAATTTTCAAAATTGTCGATCGTTTATAACGTATTAGAACCCTTAATACCTATTAAAGCAAAAAATATGAATAAGTGCTGCACACACAAACTTATAGCAACACAACTGTATAGCAATGTAACTACGTTAGTAAAGAGCATTAGCATTTAGTTTAGCATGACTATATTCGTGCATACAACTGTGACCACCTACGTATACTTTTCGAATTCGAACTGTTGTACCATGGCATTAGTAATCGTTTCAACGAACGTTCGTAATAAACAACACCCATAGGATACGGTTGAAGCACAACATATCCTAAATATAATTTTTATCAGTTGGAGTATAATTATACTTCCGTCTTTGAAGAATAATAAAAATATCTATGGCAATACAAACCTGTTGAGTCTAAGATAATATTTCTCTGATAAGACATCTCAACTCTCAAGAAGAATATCCATTATGACTCTCCTCTCTTCAATCTCATCTTAAGAGACGGATTATCAGTAATAAAAGCAGGTAAACTAATCAATTTTCTTTACAAACAAAACTATAATTTTGATCAAAAGAAATTGTAGATATTAATTGTTTTTATTAATCCTAGCCAGTATATTTTTGATGCTGTTTTTAAATATATATTTTGCTTAAATGACAAAAACAAATGAAATTGTAAACATCGAACAAATAAATCATACGAAAACATGAAAAATTTTTGTTTTTTTGTCTTGGAAACAAAATGAAGAACAGTGCTGAATAATTTTTTCGTTTTTTTTTTACCACAACTGTGTATACGTGAAAGAACAAAAAAACAAAGGTAAAATTTTGCAGTTTCCGACATTTCAGATATGAAGAAATAAATCAAAATATTTGTTCTTAAATTCTGGAATAGCGCAAGTAACCCTGATAAAATCATAATAAACTTGATATAATATGATCGAGTCAAAGATGCAAAACAAAGTATATTACACAGACCATTATTTCTAACGTCGATTCGGCGTGATCTCATTGTCAATACAAAAAACAAGGGAAAAAAGAGAGAGCAAGAGCTACACATAGACCTTTTTTCATTTGTTGTAAAAACAAAAACGATTTTTTTTCATTCGAAAAAGAAACAAAAAAATGAGCGAGATTTCAATTTAGTTTTATAATAACACTCACACACAAATACTATACAAAGAAAACAAAGTAAATTTTCCTCTATTTCGCTTTTCCGTCAGTAGCATACATACAACGAAGAAAAAAAACCAGAGAAATATGTCCTCCAACGGACAAATGTTTTTTAAATAATAAGTGTCAAATTTGATGTTGATTTGTTGCTGTTTGTAAATCGCAGAAAAAGAAAATTTTGTTTGTATGCACGAAAAATTATACGCAAAACTATCTATCTATAGTTTTTGTTGAAAGTGTCCATTTGAGTCGCATAAAATTGATTTTTTAGATCGTTTTTGTACACGCTCAAATCTCGATTATTTTAAATTTTAAGTTTTTTGCTAGCTTTTTTTATTCACCTCACACTCAATTCCAGTGATATTGGGAATAGCCAGCATCTTGAAACCATGTACCGACGGAATTATTCGAATCATCAACCATGCCCCAACTACCAGTGTTATCCTGACGATTTCTCTTAGGAGGTCCGCCGCCTCGTCCTTCCATTGGACCTGATTTTCTTTTCATACCTCCTGAATACTGTTGATGATTCATTTGTTGTCGTCCACCACCGAGATTGTTATTATTACCTCCATAACCCCCAAAAGATGATCGGCCATTATTATTGCTACCACCACCACCACCTCTCATGGACATATTACCTCCACGACGAGGAGGACCATTTCCCATACCTCCGCCACGATTCATCATCATCGGACCGCCATAAGACGATGAAGGCGGACCCGACCTTCCACCACGCTAAAAAAATAATAACATATACTTTTTTAATGCTACATCGGAGTTGATAGTCACTCAATTCTAATACCAGAGACAACTTTCATCGTGAATTCGCCTGCTTCTTCACGAAAGTTATCGAGAAGACTAAGAGCTAAACTAACAAAATTTTCGTTTTTACTTACCGACATTCGTCCTCGAGAGGAACCGCCACCTCGCATATCATTTCCCATTATGCCATAATCCATATCGTAATCTATAAACATAAAATGTAATCACGAAACAATTACTTTAAAAGATGTTGAAAAATTCAATCACTTACTGAACATAAACATATCTGAGTCAGCGCCACCCATTCCCATATTTCCACTGTGCATTCGACTCGGTGGAGGATAACTCGAATCTGATCCACCTCCAACTCCTCCATATCCTGCTCCTCGGCTGTACGGTTCAAACTGCTTCCTTTGTTCCCGTTTTTGTTGTGCTTGTTTACGTTTATCACTCATTGGTTTGGCTAAACTGATTTCCATTGAATTTTTTCCTAATTGCTAAACATCAAGGAAAAGCAACACGTAGGACTTTAGTGGAAATAACACTTTAGTTTTTATTTACTTTTCCATTCAGCGCTTTCATTGCATTCAATGCATCTTCACGTGTATCGAAGTGAACAAAGGCATAATCCTACGACATTAGGCAACAATTAAAGGTAGAAAAACTCAATAAATTCTACTTACGCGAACTTTACGAACACGTTCAATATTTCCATAGGGCAAAAATAAATCTTTTACATCTTGTTCACCAACATCTGACGTCAAATTTCGTACATACAAAACTTTTACCTAAAAAAAATCATAACTACGTAGCTGAAACTTCATGATTGCATTAGTTCGATTTACTTTAGACATTGTTTCATCATCGGGATTTTCATCAGGATCTGCCCAATCAATGGCTACATCTCGATTGAATAACTAGAAATTCAAATCAGATTAATAAAAAAAGCAGGAAATATTGTATATCGTAGAAGAATAAGTACTCTCGTTCTTGAACTAGCCAATTTTCGCTTTGCTGCCGAGGCATTTTTGTGTGTATCAAAATCAACAAAACAAAATCCACGATTTTTCTTTTTATCAGCTTCATCGGCTGGTATATAAACAATAACTTCAGTGATACCCTCTAAAAAAAACCGTAAATACTCTTAGTGCTAACAAAGTATAGCTTGAGAAGAAGTCTTACAAGATACAGACAAAAATTTATTGCTTACCAACAAGTTTAGATAGTTCTTCTTTGATTTCTTCCTTTGTTTTCGTTTTAGGTATATTTCCAACAAACAAACGAACATTAGCAACACTTGGATTGGCTTTCAATAATTTTCCCGGTCGGATTGCAAAACCATTAAGCTGGTAGGAGGTAAAGAAAAAGAAATAGATAACGTATACGAGAATCAAGGAAATCCAAACCTTGTCACAAGCTTTTGTTGAATCTGGTTGATGACAAAATGTGACAAAACAATAGCCTTTTGTATAACCGCTTGATGGATCAATCATCAATCTTAGATCCCATATTTTTCCTGCTTCTTCACATAACGGAATTATTTCATCTTCAAACACTTCACGTGGAATTTTACCAACAAAAATCTAAAAGAAAAATACAAAAATGTATTGATTTTTATTATTGTCGAAAAACACCACATTAACCGCACTACGTACTTCACTATTATGTGGTGGTCTCTCTGGTCCATCTGGTGGCGGTCCGCCATATTTTCTTTGACCGGCTGAAGGAGAAAGTTGTTTAAAAAAGTAATTCAATAGTTTCTTAGAAAACCCACATACCTGTAATTTCGATTGAATAATGTGTTCGGTCACAAATAGCCTGAAAGTGACGAAAACTGATTAGTCAGATGAGAAACTTTGAAAAGTTATAAGTTTACTTTTAATTTCTCTTCATCTGGTCCTGGTTTTCGTTCAGCACTTTCACTAAGTGTTTTTTCTGAACTATTTTTTACTTCTCTGGTATTTTTTAATTTCCACTGTTTAATTATATTACATAAAAATGCACTTTTATTAATTACACCCGTTAAGTCACTTGTGTTATATTCACTAAATACGGTATCGACACTTTCTTGGTCCTCTGGCAAAGTTTTTAGCGCAACACAAAGTTTATTATCAATATCAGCTTCGGTTAGTTTGCCTAGAACAAATAGAAAACAATTATTTAAGCGATACAGGACAAACGTATTTTATTACCATTTTCTATAGAATCTCTCAATTTTTTTACGATTTTTTCATCAAGGTTTTGTTCTGTCCACGGTTCTTTCAATGTTTCATCCTTTGTTGTAGAATCTTGAGACGTTTCATCTATATTGGGCGGAGGTTGATCGGTAATTTCTTGCTTTGGCGTTTCATCAACAATATCCGGCTGTAAAAAAAGAGATAATATTCAAATAATAAATATTTTTGAAAAAAAGCAAACTACATACATGAGTTTCAGCCGAATTACCGTTCATTTTTGTAAGTCGATCGTTTTATGACTAGAGATCTAAAAAATAAAAGTACAACTGTATTAACATGATAGAGTTTAGAATAACTTAATAGACATAGATAAAATAATAAAAACGAGACGGACGCTCAAATATACGATTTAAAGTTTTTTCCAGTAGTATGTACGATTACTTTATTCCAAACTAAAAGTATTAAAATATCCTAGTCATCTTGTACAGTACATAGAGTGTAAATGGAAAGTTAGAAGTATTCCTCAGTATTAGGTTCTATTTAATAGTCACTGTTTTTCTAATTAATTACAAACATCGAAATCAATTCACTGACAGGCTTCTTCAAACGAATGAAAAAATGTATCTAGTAAAAAACAACGCAGGAAAATGATACTTATGTAGAAGCACACCTACAATACAGAATGTGATAAACCAAACGACTCGAGAAACGAGAAAAACACGTACTACATGATATTTTCAAAGATAAAACTGGGTGACCTAAAAGCAAGATACACACCAATCAATGGACGGACGGAAAAGTCAAACGATGACAGCCATTTTGTCTTTTATGTTTTTATTTTGACGAATGATGGTGTCCTATTGTCGTAAAGTTAATTTTGAATTTCTGTAAAACCTACAACAAATCAACTATTGTACCTAGATGAATGGTTTTTGAACAATAAAAAACTTTTTCAAAGCTAGTATGAAGCGCTGGTTAATTATATCTGCACGCTCATGCACTTCATCCTAATCGCAGAGTGGTCGACGATTTTAGACGTCTATTTTAGGAATAATATGGCTGTTCTGTTTTATTCGGAATGGGAACTATATAGTGTTTGTTTCTTCAATGATTTAATTAGTATATTGCGTTACAGTTGGATCAAAGTGTACGCTACATTAAGTGTATTGAAAGAACGTAAATATCTTTTGTTTTATAGATTCTCACTGGAACGGTGATGCGAACGTGAATGTGTATTATCAGTTCGTTTTCTGTCAGGACAATTATGCGAATCACTTTCATTAAAAGTGTTGTTTGAAAACACATGTGCCCGAGTCAGAAAATATGCAAAACAGTGGTACAGCGAAATAAATAGCGATATATCAAGCTAAATTCGATGTTTATGAATGGGAGCGTTTTTCTAATTAAATTCAACGAGCAATTTTATAAAACTGCACCTTCTAACATTCGAGGAAGCTGCATTAGTGAATAAAGTGGGGAATAATGGTAAATAAGGAACGCATATTTTGTTTTGTATTGATCTATCAGTAATTTTACTGTTTTTTTTAATTCTATCGAAATAACAGTATTAATTGCATTATTAGATATAAGAAACTTTAGTTAAGCATTTTCTCTAGGGTGATAACAGATGTTATATCTGCCTGTTCACAGCGGCGTATCCAGGGAGGGGAGGCAAATGGGCAATTGCTCATTTCATTTGGAGATTTGCCCATTGTAATTTTTATTAGTAAGTTTTTACCCATTGAAATTTTACTTAGCAGATACACCCATGCGGTTTTTTTTTGTATAACCCTTAGAAAGATATATGTAAGAGTGCCTATAGACAGAATTGTTTGTTTATCTTTGAATTGGAATCTAATTCAAAAATTAAAAGAATCTCATTTCATTTTTTTGTGTTCTTTTTGGACCAAAAATCTTTTGGCCCATCGACAAAAACCTTGCCCATTTTGCCCATCGTTTTTTCCGATACAATAGAAGTTTGCCCATTGGACTAAAAATCCTGGTTACGCCTCTGCCTGTTCAATAGAAATAGTATAAGATTTATTTATTTGTATACGCTGATCAAGCTGTTCGAATAACTACAATGCTGGCCCAAAGTGTAGATACTTCCTAAAAAGACATTTAGGATCAATCCAGTATCTTGTTCTATTTAGTGCATAGTGCAGACTAAATGCTGATTGTAGAACTTGAGCTACAGCTAATCTTAAATATGTTATTAATTTTGCTTAGAAATATATGAAAAATGAAAAAACGCAAATTAAATGAAATAAATGAGGGTATAAATGATAGTGAATTCTTATTGATAATTTTCCACTTAATATTATTTTTCAGCCAGTTTTGTCGTCATAGGTTTCTATGATTCCATTTTGTTATAAATTTTGATGTTAATTAATCACAGAAGATATGGCAGAGAGAACGACTCTTTGTTGCTAAAGCTGGTCTCCCTCTATATGTTATATCAGCATCACTAGATATCTGGGAACTATAGTTCATAACTTGGATGAGCCATACAATTGATCCTAAATGTCTCTTTAGGGAGTATACACACTTCTGGCTAACCAGAGGTACAGAATATACCCGTTTGCTCCGATGTCCGTCGGAGGGAAACATTATAATTCGTGGACGTTTTTTCAGAAAACTTTTAAAAATATAGCGTCTTTGTTGAAAAACATAGAACAAAAGATTCTTAGAAATGTTCTCGACTGGGAAGGTATTCCATGCTTACAGGTAGATTCTGTCCCTCTGTGGTCAGTACTGTGTAATCAACGTAAAAAACGGAAAGAAAAAACAAAAAGCAGTATTAATGCTCTGAATCAACGAACTGTATGATTTTGCTTGCTTTCGGTCTTGACCCAATCGACTTATTTTGACATAATATACCCTCTACATAAACTGACCAAAACTTGCTAAAACACAAAGTGTGTAGTGTACACATGGTGTTTTCTCACGTCGTGTAAAACAGTGTGTATATCCAGTTGCGTTAGAGTACTGTGCGTTCTGACTATGAGTGTCTAGTTTTTCTCCTATTTTGTTTATTCACTTCTTTAAAGTTCAAGATCTTCACCAGGAATGTCTCCTGTAAAAACTTAAAATGCGGAAAAAAAGTCAAAAGCGATTCTTTCAGTTCTGCAAAGATATCTGTATGCTTTCTAGTAGTGGATTTAGTAACATTACGTACCAAAAAAGGGAAACAAATCAGTCTTTCTCAGTACTGCCAACTAGAAAATTTATCTTTCTTTCAAAGCGTCCGTATCAAACGAAAACTTTGGATCGATTTTTGAAGCTGACACAGCTTTTCTCAGCTTATGCTCGTTTATTAATCAGTCAGAGCGCCAAGCCTAAAATGCATAATAGAATAACGTTGTCCTCAATTCAAAATCTTAAATTTTGCCCACATTATGTCTGAAAGAATGTATCTCAATCAGAGAACTTATCCCTAAAATATTTTCTTAATCAAGCGCTTCCTTCCTTAGTAGGTCGTCTATGCATGTGACGATTGGCTAAAAAAATGAGCCTGTTGATAACGCAATAAAGTCACAGAAATCAACCATATTGAATATCGTTTCCATGTACTACTCTTCTGTATACGACATTTTTGCATAGACGACCTACTAAAGAACGAAACGCTTGATCAAGAAAATATTTTAGGAATAAGTTCTCTGATTGAGATACAGTCTTTCAGACATAATGTGGACAAAATTTAAGATTTTGAATTGAGGACAACGTTATTCTATTATGCATTTTAGGCTTGGCGCTCCGACTGAATAGAAAAAGAAAAGATACATTAATGTGACCGTTTCTATTATTCTGAAGAAGCGAACTCCTGATCCAAAAATCAGAACATAAAAATATCGAGAAATCTAACAAAGTGGAAGATATGAAAAGTGTGTGAAAAATTGAAATAGCGGAAGTTTTCCGCCAAAAGCGTGAAAATTAGCAGCCAAAGCCTTGACACTTAAAACCAAAAAATATTCTTGATGTCTGCGACTAACCAGCCACTCACCGTTTAAACTTAACATAAGCCATACTGAGTATTTTGTCCTTTCTTAGGTTCTCATGTTTTATTTTCGGTTCAACTACATTTCCATTGTAGATGTTACACCTCTTAGCCTTTTTCAGTCTATTTGTGACAACATATGCAATAAGTAGAGGTAAAGAAATGATCAGTAACATTGATCAACTTCATGATTAACTGACGTGCAAATTATATCTTTTTAGACGATTTGCTTGTTGTATCTATTGCTACTGAAGAAACGGATGGTTATCTACGGTTTGTACGTTCTTTAAATGTGTATGGTTTCAAATACGAGGTATTTAGAAAATGATATACTCCATAAACGAATATAAACAGATGAATTTACATTTCTTTTTTAATTCCAGATCTATGGTCTTGGACAAGTTTGGAAAGGCGGGGATGTGAAACTGACAACCGGTGGTGGACAAAAAATTAATTTGTTAAAAGAACATCTTGCTAAATATAAAAACGACAAGAACAAGATCATTGTATTCACGGATGCGTACGTTGCTTTTATTCTAAATGGAAATCGGGATTTTATTTACTATTTTATTTTATTTAGTTACGATGTGGTATTTATACAAAGTCCTGAATTTATACTAGATAAATTTCAAACGTTTAAACCAGCACGCGTTGTATTTGGAGCTGAAGATTTTTGTTGGCCTAATCCCGAACTTCAAGTAGATTAATTTCTTCATTAATATATCAGCATATTCTTTTCATGTATTTTGTTCTTATATAGAATGAATATCCAGAAGTTGAAAGTAACAGAAAACGTTTTCTTAATTCGGGCGGTTTTATTGGTTATGCTAACGATATCTACGAACTTATAACAAGTCAATCAATTAATGACGATGAAGATGATCAATTATTTTATACAAAAATTTTTCTAAACGAATTTAGTAGAGTAAATAAGTAGAAACAAAAGTATAAGAGAAAAAAAATCATTTGTTTTTTATCATTCTAGTCAAAATGGTCAATAGTACTTGATACAGGTGCAGAAATATTTTTAAATCTAAATGGTGCAATAGAAGAAATCAAATTAGAAGTCAATGGTGATGAGGTTTATATACATAACACTCGCACCGATTCAATTCCCGCTATTATACACGGAAACGGTCCATCTAAAGTTCGTATTGCATACTACCTTATATATATAATTTATCTAATCAAACTATAACTTTGTCTATTCTAGCGTAGTCTTAATTATTTAAGTAATTATTTGGCTCGAGTATGGTCGCCAACATTAGGTTGTTTACAATGTAAAGAAAATCTACTCGATGTTACATCCTTCGGTGAGGTATGTATAATGCTCAATAAAGTCTTATCTTTAAATTTGAGAGAATTAAATGTTTTAAGGTAACAAAATGGCCTATTGTTTATATGGCATTATTTATTGAATATCCAACACCATTTTTACGAGAATATTTTGAAAATATTATGAAAATCAATTATCCAAAAGAACGCATAGGTTTATTTGTTCATAATCAGGTATTTAGAATCATTTGTACCAACGAAAATCTTTTATTTTAAGCTAGTCGAATTTGTTTATTTATCTAGGTGGATTATCATAAAAATTTGACTGAACAATTTCTGAGCAAATTTAAACAAGAAGGATATAAGTTTGTTAAATATTTGAGTGTTGATGATGATACAACGGAAGCTGAAGCAAGACAACAGGCTATGTAAGAAGAAATAGATTATGAGAGTAGATTGAGTTTCTTACGGGTCATCTACGATTTGTTTTAGAAAAGAATGTCAAGATGATAAATGTGATTATTTATTTGTTGTGGATTCAGTTGTACATTTGGATCATCCAGATACACTTATTCAATTAATGACGATGAACAGGTGAGATGACTCTGAAACTTAAACATATTTATTGATGTACTTTTTCTTGTTTTGTATTTAGAACAGTCATTGCTCCGATGATAACTCGTCCCGGCAAGACCTGGGCAAATTTTTGGGGTGATTTTTCAGACGATGGTTATTATAAGCGCTCACCAGACTATTTGGAAATAATCAACCATGAAAAACTGTACGCAAAGTTTTTTGTTTTGTCCTTGTAACACGGCCAATCAAACTTTTTTTCTTGTAGTGGTATCTTCCAGGTTCCACATGTGGCTCATTGTTATTTAATCAGCGGTACATTATTGCAACGTTTTACTCCACGATACGACGATGCAAACATTGATCCAGATGTTAAATTTAGTATTTCAATGCGAGATTCGGTAAGTAAGAAAAAGAGCTTTTTCTAGTCTAGTTTAGTCAACTAGAACGAGATCTTTTCATGTTCAGGGACATTATGTCTGGATAATAAATCAAATCAATTATGGTCATTTGATTGAACCCGATAATTTCAACATTTCATTAGTTCATCCAGAAATGTATGAAATATTCAACAATGTGAAGGTGGGATTGAGCGCAAAAGTTATTCTTTTATTGCAGAAAGTCTATTTAATTATATTACACAATCTCTTATTTATTATAGGATTGGAAAGCACGTTATATACATCCAGATTATTATAAACTACTTGAACCAAATACAACAATTGAACAGGTTAAAAAATAATTACATTTCATTACGTTACAAATCGAGTTCCAAATTTTGTTCATGTAAAATAAAGATAACTTTTTTTTTCATTTTTAGCCATGTCCTGACACATACTGGTTTCCCGTTGTGACAAAGGAATTTTCCCAAAGCTTAATTGATATGATGGAGGCATTCGGCGGTTGGTCGGGTAGTTCGCATACAGTATGTGCATTTTTTTAAGTGTATTTGCTGTCAATCATGCTGCGATTATTTTTGTTTTGAAGGATAAACGTCTAGCTGGAGGCTATGAAAATGTTCCAACAGACGATATTCATATGAATCAAGTTGGTTTTGATGAGCATTGGCTTTTTTTCCTACGTGATGTTATACAGCCAATACAACAAAAACTTTATACTGGTTATAATAGTGATGTATGTACATCTTATGAGAATTTAACTTCACTATTTTTTATTAATTTTTTTTCTTTTAATAATCTAGCCTCCACGAGCTGCATTGAATTTTGTTGTTCGTTATATGCCAGAATATCAAAGTAAATTGAGACCTCATCATGATGCATCGACATATACAATTAATCTTGCCTTAAACGATGTGGGAAAAGATTATGAGGTAAGATTATATAATAAATAATGTAATAGCAAAAACATTTATTTTTTCAAATTTTTAGGGTGGTGGTTGTCGTTTTATACGCTATAATTGTTCATTGAGTGCAACAAGACGTGGTTGGACATTGATGCATCCTGGCCGCTTAACTCATTTACATGAAGGTTTGCCAACCACGAAGGGAAGACGGTATATTATGGTTTCATTTATTGATCCTTGAGTTCAAATTTGTTGAATTTTATATCTCATTTTTTTTTGTTTTGTTTATAATACTATTTTAACGATTTTCTGCAGGGTGCTATTTTTAATCATGTGTTTTTTTACATAAGTCATTTTATTTCGTACAATTTTTTATCATAATTACAACATTTTTATATTGTTTATTTCTTATACTAGTCAATTTTTTTTTCTACAATTAACCTTTTCTATTTCTCAAAAGTCATTCGCTGTAAGCGTTTTGTTTACAAGTGTTTTTGTTTTTTTTACGTAAGACACATTTTTTGTCTTTTTAAACTGTTCAATGTTTTGTAGAGTATCTGATACAATCTATTCGATAGACTTCTGTAATAAGTAGGATGTTTTTCCTTTTATTCGGTACAAACATTCAGTTGAAGTAGTTCATAATTTTTTGTGAAGACTTTAAAAAAGCATATTCAATTTATTTACTGTCTTATATTAGAGTCAAACAACATGATCAAAAGTACGTTTTTTTTTTATTAATTTTTATATAAGCATGAGTTTGTTTTCGTTTTACGAAATTAATCTATTGTTGATTTATACTTTGTTTGAGTGTGGGTGTGTCAAAAAATAGTTATTTTATTTATTTCGCCGTAAATATATAATATATACACAAAAAAAATATTACTTGTTCAAGTTTATTGTAACAGACGTGGTGACACATACGCGGTCTGATTCACAATCTTATGCAATAGATGTGTAGTTTTCAAATGAAGAGACCGGTGCTTATTTTTTGAATAATTTGTGATAGAAAAGAGGTAGAGACATTGTCAATGAACAGCTAAGACTTTCATACTTTAAAATAAGTTTTAAAAATGTCAGATAAGATGTTTCTTCAAGACTAAATTTCTTAATTGATTGAAAATCAATTCAAAACACTTCAAAATATACTCTATTTTAGCTGCTTTACACGTATAAATCTTGAAGCACGGTAAGTTCGAGAATTCGTTTTGGATCTTAAAGAGATTTCTAGAAAAATTTAAGAAATATATAGGGATTCTTTTCCCAGTTTGAATCACACTATGATGTGAAACAGCTAAAATAGAGTACATTTTCACGTTCTAAAATGTTTTGAATTAGTTTTAAGCGAACTATTATTTTTTCAGTGTTAGTTAAAGATACGGGTTATTTTATCTAAAGAATGGGTTTATACAAAGTTTTCATAAATTTTAATGAGAGCAAACGAGATACGGTACGGTCAATAATCTATCTCTCCACGAGGCTATAAGATTATTGTATGGAAAGACTAATTAGTCTTTGGACTGTTGAAAAATCAAGAGCTCATTTAAGTTCTATTTTGAAGAAAACACTGCGGGCTATTTATTCATCTTAAAAATACAATATATTCATGTTTCAAATTTGAATAATCTGAAAAGCTTTTCCAAAGATCTAAAACATCCTACTATGGAAAAACGCTTTTAAACTTAATTTTTTTGTTGTTGAAAAGATGCTCTCAAGTCTTGGCTGTTCATTGACAAAATCCACAGTTCTCTCGATCTTTTTCTATAATGTTACAATTTTTCTTCAATTATTTACAGTCAGTCACTCTTCTTTCTTTTGCTAATGTATTTTTTAATGCAATTTTTTTCTCCTCAAAAAGACATTACATAACTTTAAAAAAAAATGACAAAAAAAATATAATTTAAATCATTGTACTGGCACTAATTCTAATGCATGTGTTCTGAAATTTCAATGTTTTTTAACCGTAATTGTACAATGATGTGTTTTATTAATCAATTTTAGATGACATGTTTCAAAATATAAATTATTCTATTCTTTATGGTATTTTATTATTCATTTATATAACCAATGGCGATAATTTTGCTATTATCGATATTAATATTGATAATGATAATGAAGATGATATAGAATTAATTAAATTGAAATATGAAAAAATTAAACCTTGTCGATTTTTCTGTAAACTACTATTACACAATTTAATTTCTGAAAAAAATAAAATTCATGAAATATTTTTTTCTTTTTAGCTGATACACGTCATCCAGCAATTCAAGCAGATCTTATCAATTGTACATGGTATAAATCAGAAGCATGCTGTAAACGAACCGAAGTAGCAAGTGTATTTGAATCCATGTTTACGTTACATCAATGTTCAACAAAATGTCGAAATATGATTAATTATATGATGTGTTTTTTTTGTGATCCAAATCAATTTCTATGGTATATTAAACGGTTAGTTCACTTAATTTTCATTTTATGAGATTTAAATCAATAACTTTTTTTATTTTATTTTAGAAAAGTCAAAGTATGCGGTTCGTTTTGTAATCAATTGCATAAGGAATGTAAAAATGCAGAATACAATGGAAATGTAATAAGTAAGTGGAAATAAAAAAAGTGACATTCGATTGTCTCATATTATCATCTTATTTTTTTTTTTAGGTGTTCAATATAAATCTGGTAAAGAATTTTGTGAAGCTCAAAATTTTCAAGTAACATCGTCGGACTGTTTTGATTTTGATGAAAATGTCTTCTCAAAAACAATGTCATTTTTAAAATTCAAATCTTATTTTCTTTTCATTCTACAAATATTATTTTGTATTTATATAATATAATCTTATTTTTTTTTAACAGTAAAATTATTATTTTTTTCTAGTCATTTATTTGTTGTATGATATCACCATGTAGTTCAGTTTTTCATTTTATTTTTTTGAGCAATAATTTATTGTCAGATATTTTTAAATATTTCTCAGCAATTCCAATAGAAAAAGAACAGTATACACTTCTTTTATTAATAATATATCAGAGCATCAAAAGTTGACCGCAGATCCTTCAATATGGGAGATTTTCATGGGCTATTCTGATTTCAACTATTTTAATTTATAAATTTCAATAATTGCTTATATTATCCGTAAATTTATTGTTATCCAAACGTTTCGACTTGATAAAGCCTTTATCAATGGCATATAATAAGAAAACAGTCAAACAACTGAAAATAAAACTAGTCTAAATCTATAACAAGAATGTAAACTTGTGCAACACCGTGGATCAATTGAATGATCCTAAATCTCACAATCTAAGACCACGCAATCAAATAAATTATAGAGTTTAAAGTAAAACATGCCTTATTATAATAATCTGTTTCAGTCCTATATGATGTTTATTTTCAAGTTTACATTCTTGTTATAGATTTAGACTAGTTTTATTTTCAGTTGTTTGACGGCTTTCTTATTATGTGCCATTGATAAAAGCTTTACCAGGCCGAAACGTTTGGCTAACAATAAATTTACGGATAATTTTTATTGAAATATATAAACCAAATTATAATCCGTACGCAGCATGAATCCTAGTTTCAACTGTTTTAATTTTGAAAAAATCAAAACGTTCGAAATCCTCTCTCTAATTGATTACTAATTGATTTATTGAGCTCAAAAAAAGAGTGTTATGAGAAAATGATTTGATCATTCATAAAATAAATTTGATTTATTTCTCTATGATTATCATCTAATAAACTGTATCTCTCAATATTGTCAGGTTTTTCTATTAAAATTTTTTTTAATTCTAATTTTGTATTATGAATAATTGTTGTTGTTGATGATGGTTGAAAATAATTCTTTTGATAATTATAAAATGTAAAACGATTTAATGGATCATCTTTTTTTGAACAAAATTTTTTATCATGTTTTTTCCAAAATAATTTATACAATGATGATAAATGTTCGGTATGTTCAACAAGTAAACATGATAATTGATATTGTTCAATTAATTTTAGTAATTTTGTTTGCCATTGTACTGTCAATTTATCTAATTCTCGAAATGTTTCTGTTTTTTCATAAATAATATTTGTTCTACTATTAACATTTATAAAACGATCGGCTATGGCTAATTGTGTACACGAATTAATTATAAGCAAATATTTTGTTGACGGAGGATAATGTTTAAATATAGAAGTTGTTAATAAACATAATGTTGGTATTAATTCACTTGTTGTGAGACATTTATAGAAATGAAAATTTTTAAAACATATTTTTAAATAGTCAGTTTCATCTAGATATGTTTGTCGATAATGTAAACGTATTAAATGAGAGAGTAAATGTATAGAAAAATTGTTTTCAGTATCAATATAAATAATAGAAAAGCGTTCACTATAAGAAGAAGAATAGATGAATGTTGAAAGAGAAGTATCTATTTGATATTTGAAAAGTTCTAATGTTGGTGATTTTGATCGACGTTTATCTGAATTAGTTCTCGTTAACGTTGGTGATTTTATTGGATTATGCTTATTATTAGAACGAATTGAATCAAATGATGGAGTTGCGATTGAATTAATAAGACAACTGGCAATAAAGTGTAGTAAAAATGCTGTTTTTACTTCATTATTAGTGCCAATCAATTCTGTTAAATTTGGGCGTTGAAAACCAGCAGGAAATAATATTTTTAAAAAATATTCATAATTACTTTTTGGTTGTTGTATATCATTTTCAATAGATTTTGTAGAAGAATTTGTTAATCGAGAGAATAATGCTAATCCAGATTCATTTATCATTTTAATTAATCTAAATGATTACATAAATATTCTTAAAAGTTAAAGAAGATACATAATAGTAATTCAACAAAGTGTAGATGATTTAAAATTCAAAATTAGATTAACGCATATTGTATTTGACAGTTCATAGTTACTCATCCAAAAGAAGCAAGTATACTACTATGGTTTAACCTTTTGAGTCCTATAGTAGCAAAAATGCTACACATGCTTTATAATTATTTTTCACAACAGAATTTATAAAAATTAGTACATAATCTTTTGGAATGAAAGCAATGGAGAATCAGCCACTTAATACATGCGCGCGCATGTGAGGTATTTGTGTTATGTGTGTTTCTATGTCTAAAATAAGTTAATATAACGGTCTGCTTCAATTCAATCTTGCAAAAATAATTTAGAACTCAAAGGGTTAAATCATGCCCCAGTAACGGATTCGGACTCGCGGAACTTAAATGCAAGATCTTTGAAGATGTCTTTTATCTAAAGTTTTCCATTCGAACTCAAGAGACTTGGTCATTTAAAGATCTATTTTTCAGTAGTTATGATGGAATTGACATACACACTTCACTTGGCTAGAAGTTCACCTGTCGAATTTCTTTTAGCTACTAGCAGAGGTGCAAAATCTACCCGCAAGATTCGAAAATTTCCCTCAATAGAAAGTTTTTTTAAATACTTTCCCGACATAATCCACGAACAGAATTCCTTTCTGCAATATATTTGCAAAAAGATGTTCCAATTTTTCAAAAATTTTCCCTGAATCAATAATTTTTCCATCGACGACCGCTGGAGCAAACAGGCAGATTCAGCAGCTCTGATCACTAGAGTCACGGAAAAAATCAAAAGTAGAAGAAAGCAATAATTTTTGGATTGATTACATCTGTTTCAGATCCATCTAGATGTAATACTTTTATAACCAACTTAGTCAAATACTATCTGCTTATGATAGATACAAAATATGAAATCTCTAGTTAGATTTTCTCGCGCTCAAATTTATTCTGATTGGATGAGATTTGAATGAGACCTTTTTAATATATATTGGCTCATAAAACGTTAGCCAAACGACGAAACCCTGAGCAACCGCATATATCTGACGTATAATCATAGATGCGTTATTAGAAGTTACCTGCCAATAATCGCTGCAAAAAATGGTCGTCGTCGAAATTTGAAAAAAACGGAAAAAGCAGATTCGTATTCGTCAAAAAGTTGTACTTTCATAAATAAAAACAAATAGCGTATTACTCTGAAGGCGACAGATGGCATCTCACTACAACTCACGAGGAAATCTATCCAAGTGATACCTTCCGATTTCGTTCGTTCATACGTCGATCGATAGAAGGTATCGAGCTAGTAAAAAACCTAAAAGGATTTATCCTAATGACTCTTGAAGACCGGTTTTCTGGGAAAACCAGTTTTTCAAAAACTCTAAAAAACACCCAAAACCGTTCTTAATGAGTCATGATTGTAGCCTGCAAATTTCTGATTAAAATGAGACCTCTCCAGCTCTACATGACCTTTCTTTGCAAAGTTATAGAATTTACAAGAAAAGCCCTAAATTAATTTCTTCTTATTTCTGTAGCTTTGAGCCGACAATGAACATTTAGGACCTTTCTTGTAATTCTATAACTTTGCAAAGAAAGGTCATATAGAGCTGGGAGACGTCTCATTCTAATCAGAAATTTGCAGGCTATAATCATGACTCATTAAGAACGGTTTTGGGTGGTTTTTAGAGTTTTTGAAAAACTGGTTTTCCAGAAAAACGGTCTTCAAGAGTCATCGAGATAAATCCTTTTAGGCTTTTTACTAGCTCGACACCGTCTATCGATCGACGTACGAACGAACGAAATCGTAAGGTATCGCTTGGATAGGTTTTCTCGTCAGATAGGCTTTCCTGTCCTGCCTGATCGTATTTCAGTCAGTAGAGCGTAGAAACTGAGCAAGATAATGTATTTTTTATTCTTAGCAATTGAGTTTTGAAGACGAAATATTCTATTTTAAAATACAGTTTCGTGAAAATTCATACTTTTAAAGAAAAATCGGTGTAAAAACATCAAATTAACAAGAGATTGGCGAAAATATGCACTTCACTCGATTCAATCAAACCAAACCTACAGCTTAGTCTATCTGTCTCAAAAAAGGAAAATCAAAGCAATATTTTATGGTCTTTTCTGGCAGCCAGTTTTTAACCAATGCTGAAATTGCAGGTAACTTTTAACAACGTCATATATGTAATAATTCTGCTCACTGACACTAAATTATAGTGCTTATACCGCATCGATCTACATAACGGAGGAATAGTAGGGAAAGCGAGAAGATGCGCTTGGCATGATCACCCGCCCTCTCTCCCTCCAGAATATTTTCAGAAGATTCAGTTCAGATTAAAGTTGCACATATCTTTCCGATTTTGACGACATGGATCATTTTCTCGAGTAGAAAGTGGCGATATCTACTGCTCCTACGTCTAAGAAATATAGTAATAGAACTACCTAAAACTTTCTGAAACTACATCAGCTATCGTTTTTCGAACGGTAGGTTACATTCAGATGAACGTTTTATTTCCGAGAACAGTGATTAACGACAGAAGTTGTTAAAAATATACTGGTAATTTGGTTTCACCACTCTTAAATTGAGAGGTATCTGAGTGACTCAACTACAATAAAATGTGAGCAGCCGTGTGATAAACGTTAGTTCATTTTAAACTTAATTGCAGTTTTATAAGTGATGTTATATGTCATTTTAAACGTCTTGAAATGTTCTACAGCTGGCAGTGTTTGAGGGTTCTTTAAACTCCTGTTTCCAACCTTAGTTGTCTTCTTTATTTTGTTATTTTTTATTATTCTTTTGGTGTTGTTTGGCTTGAGTCACTGTTATTACAAGTCGGTGACCTTTGACCACTCTCACTTTTGGTGAATAAAACATTGTTGGTCTTACATTATTCACAGATATGGAAAAATAGCCTTTGATCACTTCAATATGTGAAACCGACTCATGCAGCGTTTTGTTTCTAATGATTGATGATGTCAGCAAAGTGATTTTCCACTTTGATAATTCGATCTCCACTCTGTTTTTAGCAGGAAAAAACGTGGAAAATGCAGTAGTAAATTGTGAAAAACCGCTTTGAGTAAAATGCTCATTAGAAACATCAGACTCATGCATCTGTTGGCTCGCTTGAAGAAAAACTCTGATCGATTTGATGAGGTTGAAAACCAAGATATGAAAAAGTTTCAGATGTAGATTTAACATGTTACCACGGGTTTCTTCACCTCCTTCTTCAGCTCATTGTAAAAATGTTCAAAGTTTCACGCGTCTATTATCTTTATTCCACTTTAATGAGTTTATATGCAGTTTTGTGTATATGTATTTTACTCATTTACTCATATCCTCAAGCAAAAAATATTACATTAGTTTGTTAGGCTGAAGAAAGCATCTGAGATAACTTCTTCTAGTTTCTTCATTACCTTTGCGACAATTCATACTTTTGTCACTTGTTCTAATACGAAAAGACATATGTCACTAACGCACAGTGAAATGAATGTTTTGAGTATTTTCGTATGTTGACACAGACATCTTCAGAGTGACTTTTGTTTCTGAAAGTATTTCTTATTTTTAATATTAACTAATATTATAGAAAAAAAAAGTCGAGATAAATTCTCGGTATAGTAATGGAAGAATCAAAACCTCAAAGTGAGACTAATTCGACTACCGCAACCTTTGTTGGACAAACACTTTTGTTATTTCGACGTTTGGCATACGATATCTGGACAAGTCCGGTCAATCTAATCCTTGTTATATTGATTGTATTATTATTAATCAAATTATATTTAATGAAACGAAAACCGAATGATACGGCTGAACCTGCACCCGTACAATTACCTAAAATGAAAAAATGTGATATGACACTTGCAGAATTACATAAATATGATGGAAAAAATTCAGATGGACGTGTACTAACAGGTACGTGAAATGTAATCTGGATTTTCACTCTTATTACCTGAACTATTTTAGCAATTTATGGTGATATATTTGACGTTAGTCGCCGAATAGATTTATACGGCCCAGGTAAGTGACGGAGAAGAGTGTGTGAGAATGATAGGGTAACACGATATTTATTTTCATTTAGGTGGTTCTTATTGCACGTTTGCTGGTCGTGATGCAACACGTGCTTTGGCCAAGATGCAGCTAGATGCATCATTATTTACAGAAGACTATGATAATTTAGAAAACTTGACTGACAATGAACGTTCAACAGCACGAGCATGGCATGATGATTTTAAAGGTATATTAAAATCTAGACTTGTGTGATTATATTCTCGTTTTATATTGACCCTAAAAGATATGTTTGTTTTTTTTAGACAAATATGATATTGTTGGTCGAGTATTACGTCCAGGAGAATCACCAACAGTTTACACTGACGAGGTTGATAGTGCTCAAAGTATAGGTGCCAAAAAACGTGAATAAACATGGTATTCTCACGCGCGTGCATGTGTGTACTTCTTTCAATATGATCTCGTTTAAATTGAACAAGAAATATTTGGTTTTTACGTACTGGTTCATTTAGTTTGAAAACTAGATGCTCAAAAAGTTTTTTTGTTTACTCTTTTTTTATTTACTAGTTAGTTGAAAAAATTGTTTTTTATTTCTATATATGTATAGGATAAGGTGCCAAAGAAAATTTTTTGTTCAACTACATCCATTTGATTCGTTCGTTTTACATTCATAATTCTCTGTCACTTTTACTTATTTCGTGAAGATCATGATTCTAATCAACATAATTTTGACTGGGTAGCTTTCTTTTCCCGGTGACATTTCAGACTATTACCTGATACAAATGAAAGAAGCGTGGGATATTTTTTTCTTTGTTTGTTTATTTACATGTTATTTCTGCATTAATATTATCCAGCGTATGTTGTTCTTTTGTTTTTTCTCTTTCTATATACCGTTGTTTTGATTTACTTTTTGCCAATGCACTTTTTTCTTTTCTAGAACATTGTTTGTTTTTCTTAATGATAAAATGACTGATCACGATGATCCGGTTGGTAATTATTTACGTTTAAAATTAACAGTTTTCGGTATAACAGTAGCACATCCGCACATTTTCGAGCACATTCATATGTTATCGTTTTTTTGTGTACTGACCGTGCACCTTTTCCAAGTTCATTTTTGTCAAATTGTTTTAGATTAGCGCTTTACTTTTATAGTTAAAACCTTTTCTTCATCGTGCAAATTCCAACGCCATTCATAATGCTGCGTTTGATAATATAGATTATGATGAACGTTGTAATACGATTGTTACAAATCTTCTATACGATAAATTACCGGTGAATGATGGATGTGTAATCATCTATGTTATTACAGTCATATCCGATAAAACATCAATCTCTTACGATATCAACAAATCAGGATTTATAACAACAACCAGAGCAAAGTTTGTTCAATAGTACAAAACTTCACTTATTCGACGGTTATGTTTGTTCATTTTTATAGAATTTTAAATAATCTTGATAAATATCCTCACCTTCTGTGTCGTTGAAAATTAACAAATTGAATTTGTTACAAAATTTTTATAGTAGACACCATTTATTTATGAAAAAGATACTATTCATAGAATATTCGTGCACCATGCTGCTTGATAATATTACTTTCTTATACGCGATCATCATCTTGCAAGGCGCTTTTCTCTTTTTTATTCGGTCATTGTACTGCTGAAGTTTTATTAGGTTTTAAACGTTTTTCATAAGATGCTATTTATAATCTTCGGGTTACATAACTTTATCACGCAATGTTACACGGATGAGTGGAACTAGTTCGTACATTACTTGATCATCCATCTTACAGGTGTGATGCCTGATCATTCAAACAGCATCAAAACAGCTCTTTTCTTTTCTTTGTGTTTTTCTCCAAGATATCCTAAAAGCACCGACCTTTTTCACCTAATCAGGGTATTTTGCCACCATTTAGTCTGAAAGAGTAAAAATTCGTTTAACAGACGGTATTACAAATGATCACTCGTTTATCATTAACACCCATCGAACCCTTCAGTAATTAGTATCTAGATTTGTTCGAAAATTCCTCGCATACAACTCAACTTAAACGGTATCGTCCCGATTCGTCGACAAATCGGACACTTCAAAGAATATACATCAAAGAATTTCAAAGGCGGGAGGGGCGGTGTGAGAGTGAGTGTCGACGAATCGGGACTGAATCAACTTAAACAGATCATAAATCTATTCAACATGCGTCGGATTTCATCATTAATTAGCGAAGAAACAACTTTGAATAATATTAATACGAACGATGTAGATTTTTTTACTAAAAATTCGATCGGAGTAGCAAATACGTCATCCATACACTACGTTTGTTTACTATTTACAGCAATGAAATGACAAACTTATTTTTTTTCATTGTCATCATTAACAAAGTATCAGCATTCATCAGCCAAAATTTCTGAATAACAACGTAGATCATCTTCTCATCATATATCATACAAGAAACAAAACTATTTCATTTGACGTGTATTTTTGCTAACGAAAGTCAAGAGAAAAGGATCAAAAATATAATATCAGATATCTAGTCACTTTTAAAAGAATTAATTAAAGAAATTGATGAGCAACTTTAATTGGAGCATTGAGTAGTGTTCATCTTAATGATAAAAATGTATGTGTTCATTGGACGCTAATTTGCTATGATCTAATTGCTCATTACGAACTTGAAGGAAAGTCTTTTATTAAAATGACTACTATGATAGTCGCCACATGCAAAAACGCTTTTTTAGTATCATTTAGAATCAGAGGTGGAAAACATTCAAGTTCAAGTCCGAACTTGAATGTCTTTTTCACGGAATTGAACTTGGGGATCTTTTATCACGTCCATTTGACGTCTAAGAAGTTAAAATCTTTCATATTCAACGACGGAATGGGTATAATCTGATATCTAATTTATTAATCTTTTTTTAATCAAACATACATCAATGTATGGATAAAATTTGTTTACCCGTCATATATGATTTTGACGTACTGTATGTTGCAAAAACTACTATGAAGAACTTGGACTTTAGCTCCAGCGGACATGAACTTGGAAATGGTCGAACTTGCCCACCTCTGTTTAGACTAATATAAGGCTTTGAAAACTTTGTTTTCAGAGAATTTATATTACATTTTGACACGTGTAGGTTTTTCTATAAAATGGATCAATTTTTGTCAGTTTTATCCATTTCATAACGTATTCTTTTTTCTTTAAATAAATGGAATGTTTATTTATCTTATTTTTTTTTGACAATGTACCACCTTCTATGAGGATGGTGTCACATCATGCCCACAGACGAAGCGGTGTTTTTAAACTTACACACCGTATTTTAATAAATCAAACAAATTTTAAGCATTGAATGACTTTTTCTATGGTAGGAAAGTGTTTTGTTGAAAGTTGGACGAGCGTAATAGAAATAAACATAATTCAAGGTGTCCAGTTAAGAGTTCAAACGTACTTGACGACTATTGTGGATATGTTATGTTACTCTTCTTGATGATTTATTTAAAACTTTTTGTTTCCGATCGAAGTTTTCTACTGTGTGACATTTGACAAAGTGAATGATTTTAAGAATTTCTATAGTAGCAAAGATCATGATAATAAGAAAATGTTTTCACCTACATTGAGATGTGTCATATGTCAAACATCAAGGTAAACTATAATATATTTTGAGTGACCAGATGAAGATAACACGCAATATAAATTGTTCATTGAGTTGATAACAGACGTACTCTCGGTTTTTTATAAAAATAAAAAATGAATTATTCAATCAATTCTAAAATATATTCTTCTTTACTTTTGGCTTTTTAGAAATGGCCACTCTTGTTATAAATACCAGTGTTAATTCAACAAAAAATCATATTACACAAACTGAAACGTACGGAAAAATGACTGCTATTATGTAATGTCACTAATGAAACTGATTTAGCTGCAGGACTGCAAATAACGGGAGGGTGCGCACCCCCCTCCCCCGAATAATTGATTTAGCTGTTGTTATTTTATCAGTTATTCCTCGCACAATAGCTTTTTATCAATTTTACACTACCGCAGAGAGAAAATTTTTTTTACACTCCCTTAATGTTTGGCTGCTATTTATGGCCCTGTTTAGCTGTATATCATTTTAGCTGCACTGTCGATTGAAAAAGTTCTAAAAATCAAGCGCTTTTTATAAATATATTGCTAATACTATATATTTAGAATATAGTTTTTGTGAAAGCTATAATACAGTGAACAAATACGCTTTAGTCTCACACAATAGTAGTTAGTCAATTTACCTCGTATATTTTTTGCTGCTTTCTGTACGTGTCTGATATATCTTATTATTAAAAGCATTACAATAAAAGATTAAATTTTCAGAGCAAAAATCAATCTCTACTTTAGAAGTGACTTGTAAAACACCCTAAGAATTCTGCTGCTACGTTTACTCATAATTTAATTCTAGCGGATGTATCTGGAAACGAGACATTTATGGTTGTTTCTAATATCACCGTTGTATTTTTAGATGTGATCAACCATTGCACACAGAACAAGCAACAGATACATTAAATCTGGTGAATAAACGACTTACGAATTTATATCAGAAGTAAGTGTAAAAAAACAAGTATACAATTAAATTCTCTATACCATTTTTATCGATCTAGTCAAACATCTTTAACATCAACAAATTTATCGCTGAATGAATCAACACCGTTTATACATTCTCAAACGAGACGAAGAATGTATCAAGTACGACGTACGTTTTTATTGATTGTGGCATTTGATCTAATATTTATGATCTTACTATGGATTATCTATGATCAGGTATCTATTTTTCTAAACAACATGACATTACAGTATCTTCTCATTGCAGTATTTTCTTATTCATTCAGATTCTTAATCGTACTATTATAGACGCTTTTCATATTGAAATCGAACAGTATAGTATAAAAACTTCATTGTTTGATGTTGTTGTAAGTTTTCATATAAAAAGAGGTACTTACAGCGTTTCAATACGTACAAATATTATAGGAATTGTCTGCATTACGTTTCATTCTCCTAATGGTACCATATGCTATTATGAGATGGTCTCATTTAATTTTTGTATCTGTAAGTAAGTAAATTGTTTTTTTAAAATTCTTTTCAATCAACAATCAAAAAATGATTTTTTAACTTTTTTCAGTTTACAACTTTGGGATCAACAGGATTTATTATAGCAAAGACACTAGTATTTTCAGTGCGTATAGTTATAAACGAAAGACCATTGTATCATTTGGACTTTTCTTTTCTTTAGATTTCAAAGTCAGATAAAGGTTTCACAGGTAAAATGCGAAACATTTTTTTGTAGTACGAGATAATGGCAGTTATTATAAACTTTTAGATTATGCCGTACTCATCATTTCATTTGTTCTGGCTTGGTTTGAAATATGGTTTTTCGATTATAGAGTAGTACCACATGAAAGACGAATGAGAGAAGCGTGTAAAATTGTTTAGAGGAGTAAAAAACGATGAATTGTTAAATGTTGGTCACTTTTAGTAAACGAACGTCCGTCTGACCAAGAACCATTGATTAATGATAACAATACACCAGATTACCACTCAATTACAATGCGATCAAGTATTGATAGACAATCATTTTATTCCCCAATACCATCCGTGGACGGTTAGTTGTGTCTCATTTTATACTTCAACTTCTAACGTAATATAGCTTACGCTTTCTACTTTTCAAAAAAAAAGCTAGTACTCATAAGTTGTGTACACAAGTCAATACATGATCTAAGCCTTTTTCTCCAAAAAAATTTTACAATACAAAATTCTGTTTCCTTTTTTCATTAAATTTAGTTTTTTATGAATGTGAAAGTTAACAATAGTGACTTATTATTGTATATATACAAGATAGTTTAAGGATATACTTGTGGTTGTCTGATGTGATCGCTTTACTTAATAATTACCAATGCCAAATATGATTTGTTCTTTTGTCTACTGATCTATCTATATTGTGTATGATAAGACTTATTGATAAATTTGACCCTGATTGCTTTTGTCGACTTATTGTCTTTTGCTATCATTAAACATGTGTGCCGGTAAAAAATTTTCGGTGGAGGCAAGTGTATATTGGTCAACGGTGCATCGGATCTACAAAACTTTTGTTTACCTGTGTATTCTACGTCAGATCTATTTTTGTCATAATTTTGTTTAACAGTTCCTCGTATTTTTTGGATATTGTGACGTACGACGACTTTACCTGGCTGGATGTATTCGTTGAAATTCTTTAAAATCAGCTCTGATTGTGACTTTTTCGACAGATCGGCTGGTAAAACAGGTGAATGACATTCTTGTTGTTTAGCAATGACGTGTCTAAGACTTTTGAACTTCTGATTGAGCTCTCATTGAGACTTAAAAAGGCATTGGGCAAACTGCATCATTAGAGAAAGCTCTTTTTTCGAAACCTTTTTATCTTAATCGATTTTATTTTTCAGAAAAAATTCCCTTCCTCAGAAACGCCATTATTGTTTAGGGATAGCGCATGTGATTTTAGGATAATGCAGAAGGATTTTTTCTTCTGACATACTTTCTTCACGTTCTTTTGAGTGCTTCAAATTCATGGAGATTGTAATCCGAGTATATATCGTTATTGGGGACAACTGCGGGAAAAATTGAGTGATATATTATATGTGTTGTTAGCTAGTTAGTGATATGTTGAGAGTTAATTTTAACTTGACACAAACGAATTCGTAACTTAAAAATCTGTTTATTTTTAATATAAAGTTTTTATGACACTGTAAGTTGTATCTTTAAGCAAATATCATTGAAAGAGACACCTAACAAAGTGATCGATAACATGAAGATATCTGAACTGTTTTTCTTGTCTCGCTCGAATAACGCCATTTCTTGAGTAAGAAGTGTACGAGTTTAATATTGAGTAGTTTACATTGATAACTATTTGTTTTACTTGTATCATGAACTAAAATCGTAAAAGACTGTTTAGCTGTCATTTTACGCAAAGCTGAACATAGAGTTCACAGTATTTTAATTGGTCCCTCAAGGATTTTATTAAGATGCAAATGTCTTGAATGCAAAACTTCGTTCTAAAGTAAAGAGCCAGAAATTATTCAGTAGAAAAGAAACAATTATTTTTTTTAATATGTTCATAGCGAAAGAGAAAGAAAAAGAAAATAGTAACTCGTGTCTCGCGTGATTATGGTTCTATATTATTTGTGTCACAGCTTGTATATCCATCTATTTCTCCTTTCAATAAAATATAGCTAGATATATAGATATAGGCCGTTCTTTCAAGGAAAATTGTTATCTTTTTGATTGTTCTGCGGTAAAAATAAGCAAAAAAAGACCTAGATTTATTTACTCATAAAATAAGAATTTAGTTTTATCTGTCGTTCAATTAACTGACAATATTCTAATAATATCTTTAAAAAAAATACTTTCGATTTTGTCAATCGTCGAAAATGAAATCTATATCTTTTTTGCTACCGTTCTTTACGGAATCCTCTTGTAAACAAGGCAAGTGTGTCTCTAATCCAGACTAAAACTAAATTCGCTTTGAGATGCGTCACAATTTAGTTGTAAGTTCAATTTGCACGGAAATCTCATCCCGTTAATATGAATATGAGTGTCCCATAGCGAGTACCAGTTTAGGAAGAATAACAAGCTAAATATATACATAAATTATTAGATCTAATCAGAACTGCAAGGTGACCATCATTTTCATGAATTTTTCCGACATTGACAGCTTTAGGAAATTCACATTAAATCTGAAGTCTTTTTTTCGCTAATTAATAAATATCGAGACAATCTTATTTATACTAAAATCATAAAACTCTCTATACCGTTATTTTAATCAGACATTTGCTGTAATCTATATAGGTTTTAAATATCAAATAAATCGGAAGTATAGGACTTTTATTGTCTTAACTACATATCACGGCAAATGACTCTCTTTTCTCCTTATCATACGGGACTTTTGTATCTTAGATCAAAAGACATGAATTATGCACATCAAATTATATCTATCCTAGATAATGTACTTGATGCAAGTATTTGATTACTTGTTGAGTATTTGGAAAGTATTTGACAAGTTTTCTCACTTACTAATCACTTGATCAAGGACAATTTTTTCTGCATGATTTTGTCGAGAGAAAGACTTATATAGAACAGAAGAAAAGTCAAACACAAAACAACATTACACAGTTGTTGGAATTGAACACTAAAACTATAAATTTTAAAGCATCAATTTTACTTTTGAACTAAATTATCCGGAAGTAAACTTGAGGTGTTCGATTCCTCATCCTGTGCACTGCTATAGTGTGTTCTACCTCAACTACTCAATCTATACAGCTTATAACCTTGGGCTTCAAACATCCATCGCTGTGTTTCCTATATTTGTATATAGGAAACACTGCAGACTAGAGATGATCAAAACAAATTTTCGAACGTCTCTTGTCTTCTTATCAAAAAAATACAAAAACTAAATGAGAAAAGCAATAAAAGTCTCCCCGCATTTTTGTAATCAATTTTTGAGATATCATTAGTTTCAAACGATCTGCCGAAAACGAACGAATTTCATCGTAAAAGATCACTTAAAGGGAACATTTTATTATAGAGATGTTTTGGAACAATCATACAACTATGTATCTCTCTTGTTTTCAACTGCTTGTTATTGATTTAATTCTTCTGTACATTCAATTTTTCAGACTAATGCTCTTTTTCTTTTTCAGGAAGTGACGTGGATGATGTCACAAATGAAGATTTTAGAAATGTTTTAACTGATACCGAGGCATCTGCTATTGGAACACCAACATCCATTGATTTTGAACCACAGGAAGATTATGAAAAATGTGCGGATGATGTAATGGAAGAACTTTGGAAAATATTTAAAGATACAGATGGATGGTCCTTGGAATTAAAAAGTAACGATGGAGAACACACTGTTGTATCAAAAACTTATCCAAAATGGTCAAAAGTGTTTAAACTAACGGTAATAGCTGCTCATGAGCTGTATCTACTAATGACCTGATCTATGATTTATAGAGTACAATAAACTATTCACGTGAAAATTTAGTTAATTTATTATTTGATAAACAAGAAACAATGCCAAAATGGACTCCAACTGTCATTGACTGTCGAGTAAACAGTTTTAAATCTTTATTTATTTAATATATGAATATTGTTTCTCATTTGAAGGTATTAGAAGTAGTGAATACTAATCTATTTATATCATATCAATTAACACCTGAACAAGCGCATGGCGTTGTCGCTAAACGGTAATGCTCTCAGATTAAGTAATCGTCAAAAATTACACAAATAATTTCATTTTTTGTAGAGATTTTGTTAATTTGTCAGTAAGACGCTTTATCGACAATGTTGCAGTATTAGGAGCACGAGCATGTCTTCATATAAATGCTCCACCAAAAGATAATTGTGTTAGGTAATTGACATAGATTAGTTACATTAAAATTCTTGAATTTCTTCTTTTTATTCGTTTTAGGGGTGAAAATGGACCAACTGCTTATATTATAGAGAAAATTGATGATTCAACTTCTAAATTTACTTGGATATTAAATGTCGATTTAAAAGTATACTTATATTTCATTTCTATTGCACGAAAATCTCGAAGTCGCTTTACACTTCTTGTAATAACCATCATCAATGACTTTAGGAATTAAAATAGTGAAAAACGGCTATTTGAGATATTTTACTATGAAACATATTTTTGCTAAATTGAATAATCTAATTTGTATTTTTTATTTCAGGGTTGGTTACCACAGTATATCATCAATCAGTCATTAGCATCTGTTCAAATTGAATTAATTGAATCATTACGAAAATATGTATCTAAAACAACTGCTATTTCTCCTTCGATAACAACTACAGCTTCATCAATTTGATAATATAATTCCATTATATAGCTGACTAGTCTTTTTTATATATTTTTTTTGTTTTTCCCTAAGTTAAGAAGTTATTTATTTTATTTGTGATCACTGTGAATCTTTCACTTATATTTTTTATGTCATACTTTTGATGGAGAAAGAAACAATGAATAGAGATTTCTTGTATTACATTGCTAGTTTTGGTAATATTATGTGTTTAATGTATCTATGATAGTTATTTGTTTTCACATAATGTTTGTTTATTTTTTGTTTGTTTGACCAATTTTTGTTCGAAAACATTTGTGATTTTTGTTTTCTATCTTTGTATAAATCTATTTTTACAATTAAAACAAGCACATTTCCTGCTGAGTTTATATTGACAACAGAAAAATCGTCCATATTTTCTTTATAAATTGTGATGAAAAGATTCTTGAACGTCTACTTGTAGAAAAAGGTTGTTAGTTCATTTCGTAATTTTATGTTATGGGTATACATCAAGACTAGATTTGTGTTTTTCTTGGAGAAATCTTGGATAGAAAGCACAATAAAAATAAACATAAACCAATCAGTCCCTCTCATGATGGACTGTCATGAGACAGATGAAGGAGTTGTCACAAGTTTTCTAAGCTTTTGATTTTTAATACTTTTAGCGAGGTTTTATATCACGTCCGAAAGAGAAATTTATGTTCTGTACGCATTAGAGCTTTTAAATTACGAGGCCGAGAGGAGTCTTCTATTTGGGAGGGATCTTCTAATGTGTCAGTCTCTTTAGTGTCAGATTAGCTCAACCGTTTTACTCGTTGTGTTATCGGAAATATTTAATTGGAGTATGTGATTCTTTTTATGCAGTACTTGGGTACTTTTATTATTTTTCCTCAGGGTCACGACTCTGGCCTTAAAATTAGGTATAAGTCGCTAGTATCAATGTGAGTTTACGTTGTTAGTATCGCTTTACATGGCCTTCACATTCGATGTATCCTGATCATTTCCTGTTAAATATTCTAAACGTTTATCCATTCATTGGATATACTTATACAAATGAAACTTAAGAATTTTTCTTTGTCGTTAAAATGAAGGGAGACAAAGACAAAACAAAATGGAGAGCGTAATTTGCTCAAGGCGTCAAAAAGTAAACTCTGATCCGTTGGCAATTATTTTTAAAGATGGAAATTCTTATGCTTTACTAAGTAATTCATATCTCTAATCTTTCGTGTCTCTTTGGCACTTGATGTTAGAATGGAGCCAAAGTTATACAGAATAATCATAACTTCACTCTCAACTTCATACGCATCTACAGTATAAAGGATGATTATTCTGTATAAGAGCCCATTCTTTTATTGTTCAGTTGAATGTATTATTATTCTCTAATTTGTAGATATAAACTAGTAATTTTATTATTTCAATAGTTTTTTTGCTTACATAACTATTAGAGAAAAGTTAAACATGGCACCCCCACTCCCACGAAATAATCGTACAACTGTTCGCCGTTCAAAATCAGCACGTGCTGGTGTTTTGTTTTCCGTACCGCGTTTTCATCGATATTTAAAAAAATCTAATCCCAAACAACGTGTCACATTGGCTGCGAGTGTTTACTGTGTAAGTGACTCACAGCATTTTCTTAAAGATTAGGTATAAACTGGCCCTCATTAATTATAGGCAGCTGTTATTGAGTATTTAACGGCTGAGGTTTTAGAATTATCAGGAAATGCAGCAAAAGATCATAAAAAGGTATGATTTGACTAATTTTTTTGTTTGTCTTGTAAAATCTAAGCTTATTTTCAATCTCTATTTTAGCAACGTATAAATGCTAGACATATATTTTTGGCTGTTAGTATAGATGAAGAGTTAAAAAAAGTATGTATTTATATCGTCGCCGCGCGTACATATCTGACCTGTCACTCTTCCCTCATCTGGTAAAAATCTAGAGATCTTTGATGATAAAAGTTGGGTAACAAAAAAATATTTGACGATGCGAAGAATTCATATGAACATCATGCTACCTTAAGATAGTAAATAATTTATCTATTGCTATAGCATGCTAGTGAGTAATATTGTCCTAGGTAATGTACTTGATACAAGTACTTGATTACTTTCCAGTATTTGGAAAGTATTTGACAAGTTTCCTCATTTACTAATCACTTGATCGAGGACTTGACAAGTGTTTTAAGTGTTAAATAAAGATAAATGAAACAAGTACTTGGCTGACGTTTTTTAAGTAAATTTACTGGCATTGAGTCAGCCAAGTGCTTGAACAAGTACTGAACAAGTAAATATATCTCTGAGAAAAAGGCAAGTACCGGCTTCATTACGCAAGCGAAGTACTTGGTTCAAGTACATTCACTAAGGTGCAGTCTACTATCTCTCTGGACTTTTCATTAACGATTCAAAAAAATTAAGTTTTTATGTATAATGCGCATGAATCATTTTAATTGACATAAATAAATATCTAGTCGTTTTTTTTTCGCATAGCGAAAAAGAAAATCAAAACAAAAAATCAACTTAGAACATAAGACAATGACTTATATAGCAAATACAGAGAAAAAGAAAAGAACAAGCATTTTCAAAAGTAAAACACACACACACGCGCGTTTACCCCAAGAAGGAAAAAGAACAACAAACATACAATGAAAGGCAAAGAAAAAAAGAAAAAAGTTTGATCTTCTGCAAACCGTTTTGATGCATCAATGAGGCTAATAACGGCATAAAAACGAATGTATTGTCATTTTTCAAAGATACTTGTTTAAAACAAGAACTAGAAAAGGATGACACGTTTAGAACAATATTAGTTTCGGGCTAGTGGTGTATAATTTCCCAGAAATGCATCGATAAAATATAATAAAATGCAGTATTTGATACGTAGATACTTTTTTAAATGGAAATAACGTTGAAAATGTCTCTGATAATATTCGGCTCATTACCAGATGAAAGAAGTTCGTTCTTTTGGTTGATTATACTGAATAATTTTTACAAAAGTTTTTATTTTTTATTTAGTTACTCCATGGAGTTACGATTCCTCAGGGTGGTGTTTTACCGGTAAGTTTTTTAGCTGACATAGTTACTTAAAAACAGATAATGATGATTGTTTTCTCTAGCATATTGATTCATTCTTATTAAAAAATAAGTCAGCCAATGATGAACATGATACATCACAAAAATCATCTCGACCGTCTACATTACCACCGGCACCATCCAGCGGTTCCGCTGCCGCAAAACAAGGTAACAATAATAGTTCATTTTTGTCTGTTTCTATGATTTTAAAAGTGTCATATTTTCTATCTAGGTAAATCAGGCGGTGCAAAACCCAAAGGCTTGTCATCAGCTACTCCATCCGCTGCACAAAAGAAATCTGTTGCTGCTATTACACATTCACCAACAGCTTAGGCTCTTATAAAGAAGAAAATGTCAGCGGTACTACTACCATTTCTATATGCGTTTTCTCTCCTCTTTCTGTTTGTTTTTTTGTTGGATATTGCAGTAGAAATAGTTTGTTCGAGATTTAAACAATGTGTTCGTTCCTTTTATGGTAAAAATAAAAAAAATGATTTTCATCAATTTTTCTTGTTTAAAAGAAAATTGATGTATATTTCTGCGTATCGCAGTTTGATTATGTGAGTATATACTCTCATCTCTCCGTTGTTGTGTTTTTTTGTTGTTATTAACACATTTTTCATTGATCGTATCAGATTGTCTTTATCAATAAATTGTTTCCTACATCTGATGTTCGATAGAAAAATTAATCAAAGACATGTGGAGAAACTATTAGCATAAAATTGTATTGTGTTCGCTGTTGTTGTTGTCTTTCTTATTTTAGTTGTGTAATGTTTATTTGTTTTCGCTCTTTAGCTTCTATATATATATAGAGAGAGAGTGCAATGATCTGGTAGTGTTTGTTTTCTAATGCGAAGTACCGACTGCATTTTTTTTCTTCTCTGTCATTCATTCTTAACATCTAAATGTAAATAAAAAAACTTGGTAGCAAGAACATTGTTTTGAAATAAATGGATTGAAGTAAAAGGAAAAGAAAACAAATGCTTTACAATATTAATCTCAATCATACCATGCAATTGACGTTTATCAAACAAACTCTAGATAAAAGAGATAATTTTCAAGCTCTTTCTAACAAGCTAGAAAAAATCAAAAATATAAGGAAAAAGTTGTTTGAAATAGGAGACCGAGGTATCATCAGCTTGTATCAGAATGGTAAAGTCATTTTTTTTCTCTCTGTAAGATACTGAGTCGTCGACTTGGTCACTGCCCAAGATTCTATCTTAATAAGGATTTGTTCGATTTAAGCAAGTATGACGTTTTTTCCACACATCAGAAGGACAAATATGACATATTTCCTCTATTAAACGATCTTTTTCTTGTATTCTTAGTTCCAATTGTCTGTTCAAAAATTATTCGCTGTCGTAGGATACATTTTTCTTTATTCTTAACTTTTTGTTATTAACATTGATGTCGGGAAACATATTGTTTATATGCGCAGTCATGTTGACGAAATGTTATAATTCTGCAGTCGGACTAAGTTTAACAATGACCACGTAAAAAAAGAAGTTTTGTAATCGCAACATAATTCAGTCAGAAGTTATAGTTGACACTGACGATAACTATCGAATATTTCTTGCATTCAAAGTAAGTAGTGAATTGAATTATGATTCTAGAAGTTATATCAAAAACTATATGTTGAGATTACAATTAATATCTCGTCATAACAAAAAAAGCAGATTAGACAAGGTCAGCGATGTCGTGGTCTTTAGATTTTTGGCTGGGAGTCAATGGATTCAAAAATCATCGTAGAGCTAGTATAATAGTCTTTTGCTTTCTTTTTTTCTGAAAAAACATGAAACTTTTGAATTATTTGGTGAAGATCGTTCATGCACGCGGTTAGCCAGTTCTTTTGTTCATTACTGAATAAAAAACTAGGCAGTTTAGCTTTAATTAACCTGCAGTAAAATCTCTATTAGTGAACACCTCTCTAAAGTGAACATCTCCTTATTATGAACACATACACACGTGCAATGTTTTTCTTTCTCTACTGCTTATCACCTGCCTCTTATTTACTAAAACTGACTACACTTTATGTACTAAACCTGACTATTGTACTTATGATAAAAAAGAATGACATCATGACAGAGCTAACTTTAAAAGAAAAAATTGAATTCATTAATGGTAACAAGGATGGTAAAGGTTTATCACAGCGTAAATTAGCTGAAAAATATAATATTTTTTGAAAATATTAAACGAAAATTAAATAAATTAAATTCAAATATGTTTGAATGAAAAGAGATGAACAATAAAGGTTCCAACTTAACTCAGGATTAGTGTAGAAACAGACATTCTAAAACATTTTCTTCATTTCACAGAAAAATATGCATTATCTCTCTAAAGTGAGCAACTGCTATAGTGAACGCTCCTGAAACGTTTCGATGGTGTTCACAAGAGAGAGGTTTTACTATATTGTCAGAATCAATCGATTGATCACACGTTTGTACGAAACATTTTTTCTCCACTTTTCATGTCAGATGCTCGTGAACCGAAAGGAAAAAGTTTTTCAGTTTGATTCTACAAAAGAGTGTGAGTTATAGTCCTGCATGACAAATGTTTTTGTTACTTCGAGTCCGTGAACTCGATCAGTTTTTAGTGGAAATGGGACAGATGGGTCATGATGAGAGGCTCTCACTCAGAATTCTACTGTAAATAGAAAACTGTTTGTAGAGAATACGAACAGTTATTATATGATTTGTTGAATAGATAGATACTTTTCACTATTCAAGGTGTCTTATAGCTCTTTTTAGCTATGGAAGTTGATCGTTTCAATTTATCTAAATTTGTCGTGTCCAATGTACAAAAACACACACGTTCTTTATCCTCAATTAATGATGATGAAAACAATTCGACAATAAATCAATTGACCAGATATCATTCATTAAATATACCATTGTCAACTATATCGGATTCTCGCAATGTTTTTCTTGTTTCACCACCACGTAAAAATGGTTATCTTGTACGATCAACAACTCCAGTATCTCCATCCTCATCATCTTATACATTGTATCCTGAGAGTACTTTGCTAACGACTGTACAATCATTATCAAATCCCAATACAAGTGGAAATTCGTTAAAATGTCAATCAGAATTATCATCACAATTGAAAATAATTGATATTGATCGTCAACAAAGACCGTTATCAATCGTCGATAATGTTGAAACAAATATCAGAGTAAATCTTTTACCACAAGATAGTTGGAATGATTTAATATCACAATCGGAATTATCGGAAGATGGAGAAGAACATGATGAAGATGTCTCATATGACAATAATCAAAAATTTTGTAGTAGTGCTCGTGATTTATGTATGTCATCAAAATCAAAATCTACAACAATAATATCAAATTGTTTTCTCTTGCTTTACAATATATTCATTTATCTCTTAACTTTAATAACAATTTTAACACCAATTCTTTTCATTATGTTACCAAAATGTTCAATATTTGTCAAATATGAAACATTAACATCAACAACAGTCACATCACATTCGTGGGATACATTTTATGGATATATGAAAATAACATTTAAATTAATATTATCAACAATTGGTATTCTACCATTTTTATTTTATCAACGTTGTTTGACAAAAGATTTATTTAAAGTATTTATTCTCATCTATTTATTTTTATTAACATTTTTTACATGGTTCTTCTACATACGTCTAAAACAGTCATCTATTCAAAATATTGAATATTCACTTAATTATCTTGATCATGTAATATTAGTATGTTTATTTTATCATGTTATATTAGTTGTTGTATCTCAACAAAAATATTTAAAATCAAAATTTGTTATACAAATGGTACGTTCTCCTGATGGTGTATCAAGACAATATTCATTAGGTTCAATGAGTATTCACGAAGCAAGTCGATATTTATTAAAACAATATTACAATGATTTTCCTATCTATAATCCGTGGTCATTTAATATAAAAACAATGTTGAGTGGAAATACTGATGGTCGATCATCTACGGTACATGAGAGGTAAAAATAATTCTGATGAAAACAAGATTAATATTTTATAATGAATAAAAAATGATATTTTATCTAGATTACAAGATGAAGTTGAATATGAAAGACGTTTACGAAAACGACGTGTAAAATTAATCAATGTTGTTGAAAAAGCATTTAATCATGTTAAACGATGTAATAATAAAAACAATATTGATGTTGAAGAAAATGTGATGAATGCTAGATCGGCAGCGCAAGTAAGCAATTAAGGCTCTTTTTTTGACAAAACTTTTTTATTCTGAGTTGAACTTGATCACCACTCCCAGAATATTCAACGATCTTTTATTTCAAAAGCTTTGAAGTTTTTATGTTTTGCTACTTTACTTTTGTTTTCCGTGCCTTCATAATTTTTTCTTGTGCTTAGTTTGATAAAGCACAGTAGTCTCATCACAAGAAGACCACTTTTGAAATTTTTAAATGATTTTTGCGATCTATGAGCATGGTCGCAAATGTCCTACAAAAAGTGATCGGTTTAATGTTACCTGTAATGCGGGAAATACCGCTGGCAAGAGATGTGCGTGATCAAGGATTTTTTATTACAGTCGCGAGACATTTTTCTCATAATATTTACCTAGCTCTTCTCAGAATTAAGGTATCCTAGGGATAATTGCGCACGATTCTCAATGGTAGTCCCTGAAACCCCTGAACATCTTGTATTATAGGTATGCTATGAGCTATGAACTTTTCAGTATTAATCAATATCTTCTGTTTGAAATCGACCAAGGCGAGTTGAACAGATGTACGTTCAAGATCTTCACTAGATTTTCAGAGGATTTTGAGGGGATTTCCAGAAAACCTTTTCCTATATTATTAGGTTTAGAGACCGGAAAAGATGTTTTCATAGGAAATCTATCGTGACACATTCAATGAAGATTTCCTATGAAAACTTCTTTTCCGGCTTCAAGTCTACTAACATGGGAAAAGGTTTTCTGGAAATCCTTGGGAAATCTAATGAAGATCTTGAACGTACATCCGTTGAACCCATCTTGATCGATTTCGTACAAAAGATATTGGTTAATATTGAAAAGTTCATAGCTCATAGCACATCTAGTATAAGATAAGATGTATAATATATGATGTTCTGGGGGTTTTCGATAGTCCTCCGACCACGATTGTATACGAAAGGATTTTACGGCAAAATATTTGCAACAGAAAATGTTCACAATGCAAAATTACATAGGTACATATTTATTTATTTCAAAAGGGAGATAAACTGGGGCTAAATGTTTAAACATTTTATTATTTGTTAATGTTAGACTCGGATCTAGTTTAAGACCTAAAACTTTGTATCTGCGCACTCTCCACTAAAAGAAATTATGTCATCCGGTAGAGATGAATGACAACTTTTATACTGACATAAATTTTCCAAAATGCTTCGTTGATGCGGGCGACTGCGCAAGAAATACTTTTTGCACTAGGTGCAAAATCGCTAGGAAAATCGATTTTTTCAATTTTTAAAAATTTTGCGTCTTCGCCAAAACTTATCCAACCCGTGAGTTATTGCACACGTATACCCTTGAAAGTGTCCTCTATAAACTGGCAAAGTTTGAGGGTATGTTTTTGTTGTTCCGCCCCTCCGCCCCTTAAGTAAAAAAATGAGTGTAGCACAAGTAATCTGGTGATTATTTATTTTCTAGGCTGTGTTTAGTTCGATTGCTCGTTCATTACAAAAGTATCTTCGCTCAACACGTCGACAAGCATTTTTTACACGTGATTCAATCATTGATCATTTAACGTCATGTTTATCATTTGATATTCAACCACAAGCATTTCTTGAACGATATTTACAAACTCAATCAATATTACATACACACAATTATTGTCATAAAAATATAATTGATACTCGTCCATCAAAATGGTCCCTAGTAAATGACGATAATCGCTATTGTTCAACAATTTACGATGGACTAATATTTGTATTGAAACAGAATAATAATAGTGATATATCACTATTATGTACAGTTCAAGAAACACCCACTCTAGAACTAGAGAATGATCATCGATTTGTAAATTTAGAACGGAATAAATTTAAATTAAATTTAAATTCAGAAACTTCTGTATGATTGGCTAAATTCATTTTGTAATCATTGACTATTTCTTAAATAATGTAATTGTCTTATCTTCGTTTTGTTATTGTTATGTGCTGTAAATAAATAAATTATTTTGATGCATAAACTCCTAGTAAAACCTATTCGGATATACCATGTTTTGTATTTGTAAGTGTGATATTTTCGATGATCAATCAGATGAATAGATTTCTTGCTAACCAACACATACACATTAATTGATACTACTACTGTAAAAACTTATTTTATCATCTGATTGTGCAGTCAATAGGGTATGATTAGTAGTAAAGTTCTCAACAAAAATAGATATCTACATTTTGAAATCACATACAGTCCACCCTAGACAAATTTTTTTTGAAATTTCTGATAAGAATCTTATCCGATTCTTATCAGATTCGTATATAAGAAGTGGCACGAAAGTTGCACGAATTTCGTAAGAATCAGATAAGAATCGAGTAAGAATC